TGGTGATTTGGTAATTAGTGATTTGGTATTTGCTATCTAGTAGTTGGTAGTTGGTATTTTGGTGTTTGGTGTTTGGTATTTGCTATCTGGTAGTTGGTAGTTGGTATTTTGGTGTTTGGTATTTTGGTGTCTAGTGATTTGGTAATTAGTGATTTGGTGTTTGGTATTTTGGTGATTTGGTAATTAGTGATTTGGTATTTGGTATTTAATGTTTGGTGATTTGGTGCTTGATGATTTGGTGTTTGGTGATTTGGTAATTAGTGATTTGGTATTTGCTATCTAGTAGTTGGTAGTTGGTATTTTGGTGTTTGGTATTTTGGTGATTTGGTGCTTGATGATTTGGTGTTTGATGATTTGGTAATTAGTGATTTGGTATTTGCTATCTGGTAGTTGGTAGTTGATATTTTGGTGTTTGGTATCTGGTGTTTGGTGTTTGATGTTTGGTGCTCATGATTGGGTTGATTAGCTTTATAAACTCCGTTGGTGTTTTATATGTGGTAGACTCGTGGTAGCTTGAGCATCATCTCTACGCAGTAAAAAATATAGATGTGAATATCACCCATCTCATGCGATATAAGAACCCTTTTTAAATGAATAGATAGAGCTATTTATATGTTGCCTGAAACAATAATATCTTGGATTCCAAATATTTTTTTTGTAACAAACAAAAGTTGGGGGAGATCCATAAAAAATACGTGGATACAATGTTTAACGTCTAATTTTAATCCAGCAAAGACCCATATGTAAAATTTGTCTTATTGAACATTGGTCCTCCCTTGCTAAATCCATCTCTAATTTTCAATAATTTATTCTGTTATCTTTTTCAGTTCGAGTTTAAACATGCTTAACCTTTACAGAACTTGGAGGTTGAGTATCATTCCCCTCACCCAACGGGAGTGCATCTTGATATTAATCTTTTTCTGTTATTCATCGGTTTTTTAAATTAAATGGTAAAACATAAAAGAAAAGTATTAAATGTGTACTATTTCACGTATTTATATAGTAGAAAGGAAATATTCATTTAAGATAAGATACACAATGGGAATAATTATACATCCAGGAAATATCTTAGATATAAACCCGATAAAGGAATAGAAAACACATTCATTATTTACCAACTTCTACAAATAAGTCTGGTATAATATTAGCAGGAGCAGAATCAGCATTAGGTTTGAGTTTATTAGTATCATATTATCGTTTGAGAGGTAAAGTATCAAATCCACATCATTTCCGGTAGGGACCGCAATTGCAGCGAAGTTCAGAGAAGTATTATAGTATTATTATGAAAGGATAGATTAATAAGAGACATTCAAAACAATATTCCTAGACATATCCAGGGATTAGTTCATTCTTCTAAACCTTTATTATGATTAGTTTTGACCGAAGGTTTCTTTAGCTGTATGTATGTAGAGTTTAGATCATCAGATAAGAACCGAATCCCGAAAGACAGCCGTTTCTATGAAGAGTTGAATTCTTTTTGAGAGAAAGAGCTTCCAGCCCGGAGAGAATATGTCTTCTCTGGGCCTGGACTGAGCTGGAATCAGAATTTTTAGTTTCCGCATATGATGAGCCTCTACACTACAGTCCAAATCACGTGTGTTGGGCAAATAAAGATACAGGACTTGTCTCGGTGAAGAAGTATGCTGAGTTGTAGCAATTTCAAGAGGAGGTTTCTAAGTATAAAACTCAATTTAAAACCTAAAATCCCACTGATCTACTTCTAAAATTGGTCAACTGTCACATATCGCCTTGAAATATGCTAAAAAAGCCACACAGTCTGCTATTGACTGAAAGTACAAGTCAAACACGCTTAGACACACATGTTACAATGGAGGTAAAAATAGAATTTATTGTTACACAGCCATCCCTTTCCACAAAATATGCGATTTCTGTGGATAAACAAAGGACCATCAGATTTTTAGTCTGATATCAACGGATGGGTACTATTAAAGACTACACCCAAAATGGGTTATATCATAAGTTTATTGCAAGAAAGGCTACGACATGCCCATTTCATTAAAATCTCGCCAAGAAAGCCGCAAGGCCTTGGTTCCGACTCGACCCTGCCCCAAAACATTAGCTCCAGAAATCTTCTCACTGCTCCAACCATATAGTTTAGGCCCACCCAGCATTAATCAACACAGACGAGACTCAAGCAACACAAATCTCCACAACCTTCTAAAACCTCACTTCCTGAAAACAAGAAACTAGGCTACGAAAACAAACGTGCACCAGAATATCTTCTTTCAATATCATCCCAGCCAATCCAAAATCATACCTCACAAAACCACCAAGAAAACTCATGCAGTGATCGTCTGGACACGTCTGTCAATCCGTTGAACTGATTATGTTAGGGACCGGACGAGACATATAGGTTATGTATTTTAATCACTGGTCTTTTTAGAACTCTACATAAGTTCTATTCCATCTTTGTATACTTTATCCAGAGGTCACGTGAACGGAACTCCTACTCGAGAGAATACTGGGTTCATAATGAATCTGACGGTGCTCAAAGCAATGGGATATAGTCATATTTGCGGTTACAGGGACCGTCGGTGCCAGGCTGATACCAGGGACCTTACAGATTAGGAGATACTAATAAAAATCATCCTAAAAAGTTTTATTCCTTACTTCTTTTGATAATTTTAGTTAGGTCATCATCCTTTAATTTTAAGGAATTCCTCTGTATCTCTTCCAGCACTTTAAGAACCCTGAGGATCTAACACGTGAATATGAAGTCTTCAGCAGGCTTGAAAGCACGAAGCTACGGAGATTTCACGTGAGCAATGTAAGCTTTCCCATTTGCTGTCGGAAACCGCAGGCCATGACGGGTGCCATTAAAAGCTGTTCTGCACAGGAATGTATATATTTGTTGAAGCCACCCTGCATCGAAACTATAGGCTGGCCAGAGCCTTGGTCATGTTTAGACAGTCCTAGTATGCGTATTCCGGCTTAAGCGGATATAACACCTAGGGATAATGAGAGCAGGTCAACGAACAGTACTATGGCAAGGACCGCATCAGTGGGACTTAGCCTATGGTAAAGTATGAATAGATTATGGCGATTTCAGTAAAAGGAGTTTCCCTGAATTACGGCTGCCCACTGTGTCTTCGCCTTTAAAGCACGTCTCCTAACCACCATACTGGATGGGTCATATTTCAACAATATTGGGGGCCGGTCAGGCAGGGAAGCGGGCATTAGTTGTTTGTAAGAAGGCGAACTCCAGAAGCAGCCGGGGACGCATGCCCCCTGGCTTCCGTCGCTGGAATGCGCGACCACTGCACCCTCGTCGTCTGAAATTCGCCCCCTGTCGTCTGGAATTCACCCCTCTGACCCCCTGTCGTCAGAAAACCAACTCGCGAGGAACGCGTTGTCGAGGGCTCGGAGATTTGTTTCAGTGGCTCGCCACCGCACAATCCCATGCCAGGCGCCGTCACACCTGCTCATCGTTTTTCGACTCGGCCGTGGCTCGCGCCCTTATGAAGATCATCAAGCCCTTGTACACCACCCCAACAAGGCACCCCAAGGTGGTGATGAGCACCAACATTGCATAAATAGTGGCCACGACCCTGAAGGCCACGAACCCATTGTACAAGCTGTAGAAGTGGTTGATGGCTAGCGACATGGTGCCCAAAGGGAAAGTCATGGACCAGAAGCCACGCTGGAATTTGAGGAGGCCCGCAAAGAACCTCTTGATGGGCAGGCGGCTCGTCGGCTGGTACAAGAACGCGTGGTTTCTCTTGATCGCAAACGGCGACATCTTAGAAACCAAAGACATGTAGGCGAAGACCGTGAGGAGAAACCCAAACGCGATCAGCATGAACGCCACGATGGAGCACGTGACCATGATGGCCGTGGACATGAGGAGCGGCAAGTGCGTCAAGGCCACGCCGTTGTTCTGAGCAGTATCGCTCAAGAAGGAGACGTACAGGGAAGCCGCCACCGTGTCGTGGTGCTCCAAAAGAAGCAACGTGCAGTTCTGCCCAAAGTATAGGATTGCGAATGCGCCCTGGCCCACGAACCCGATCGGGAGAAACATGGCCAACACCTGGCCGCTGTGCGGGATCTTGTGCACGAGCATGCGCCAGAAGTTGATGGTGACAATGATGGAGGCGAGGAGCATGGCGATGGCCCACATGATCAACGAGACGGTCATCGTGACAATCTTGTCGTTCGTGGTGGGCAAGTCGGCCGTGATGATGCCCCCCATGGACGCCGCCACAGTCAAGGTCACCACCGGCAAGAGGTAGTGCATGCCCAAGCTGGTGGGCTCCAACCTGTTCTTGCTGTTGCGATGTTTTGCCATCAGCGAGAAGTAGAACGTGACGATGCCCGTGTAGAAGGAGCCGAAAACCACCACCCACCAGAGCACCCACACGCCGACGATCCACGAGGCCCCGAGCACGTTGTGCAAAAACGTGAAGAGCGTGGTGTAGCCCATGACAAAACAGCCCATGGCCGGCGCCACCACCGGGTCCCTGTGGATCTGCGAAAAGAGCCTGGGCCTGCAGTAGAGGGCCACCGCAAAGAAGCCGCAAAGCCCGACGAAAAGCACGAGCCCGACGAGAGCCATGATTATCCCACACACCTGGAGCCAGCGCGCGGGGTACGGGAAGTTATATAGCAAGTTGGCCGACATGCCGGTGCCCATGACCGACGCAAAGTAGGCCGGCGAAAAGCCATCAATAAACCTGGCCCGGAGCTCGGCAGAAACGCTTTGCAGCCAGGACGCGGGGTGTGTTTGCACCGTCTCAACCAGGTCGTTGGAATTGGAGTTGGTACCTGAGATTCGGGGCACCTCCGCCAGCCCGGGTTTCGAGCCCACCGTTTCGCCCGAGGAGGCGCTAGGCCCACACATCATGTTGTGAGTGGAAGCGTCGAATCTGAGCCCGTGGGTTCAGTGATAAGCGCTGGGAAAGAGAGCTATCCAACGGCTTGTGCTGAGATGAGCAAGAAACACTGAAGCCAGGGTCCAGCGTGAGTTTTGGAGCAGGCCCTAAAAGAAACAAAATGGCTTTGGAAAAGGATCACGCTTTTTTCCGCTGGCAGACCGGGAGTCCCTTATAGGTGGGGATGCTAAATTTGGGGCTCCAGGACCGCAGGCTGAGTCATGAAGCGGTGAGAGTGCGTGCACGTATCTTTGGAATTGACGCCACACAATGAGACGGGCGCACTCAATTGCCGGATACGGCAATCCCCGACGTCGTGTGTCGGGGGAAGACCGTGCAATTGCCCGATGCGGCCGGTGCCGTCGGGGAAAGACCGTGTACTTGCCCGATGCGGCTGGTGCCGTCGGGGGAAGACCGTGCACTTGCCCGATGCGGCCGGTGCCGGCGGGGCCGCGATCCCGACGGTGCATTGCAACCGCACCGCGGCGGTCATCCGCACGGCGACACGGCGGGGTGCGCGCGCTATATGCCTGACCCGTCGGCTTGCTGGCGGGCCCGGCGACGAATCGGGCAGGAGCAGGCCGCGCGCGTGCGCATGCAGGACCGCCGTCGGGCCTGGGCCGCCGCTCGCCCCCTTTTCGCGCCGACAAGGCCGGCTTTCAGCCACTGTCATTGGTCGGCCCCGACGCCGTCACCCGTCCGTCTATCGCATGCGTATCTGCGGCTCGCGACACTGCCTCACTGCGACACCCCGGATTATAAATAACGGGCGTGTGCCGCGCTTCTCTCCAAGTGCCCATTACTTTTGCCAACAATCACTTTTTCCTAGAAATCCCCAGTGCCCGCTTTTTGTACTGGCTTTGCTAGAGAATCTTTGCTGCTTATCTTCGAGACTCGGTGCCGATTGCCGCGAGCCTCATCACACAAACCAAAACGGAAACTCAGATCCACCGAACCCAGCCCACAATGCTCAGTGTCAACAGTGCTGGATCCAGCGACATGAAGTCGTCGATGATGTGTACGGCCCCCTCGGCCCCGCAATCGCGCGAGGCCACCGTGCCCACCTTCGGGTGCTTGGAGGACGAGACCAACAACGACTTGAAGTTGGACAACAAGTTTGGCCAGCTCATCGACAGCCTCCGGGCCGTGTTGGGCACTAAAGGCTTGGCGTGCGCCGACGTGGACGTGGGCGAAATCAGGCGCTTGATGGAGCGGTACCAGTCGGACGAGACCGAATGGGGCAAGTTCGCGCTCAGCGACGCCTCCAAAGGCTACACGCGCAACGGGGTGGTGAACATCAACGGAAACGCCAACTTGCTTGTGCTTGTGTGGAGCCCCGGCAAGGGCAGCGCCATCCACGACCACGCCAACGCCCACTGCTGCATGAAGGTGTTGAAGGGCCTGCTCACGGAGTCTCTCTACGACGTTCCCGAAACGGCCGGCCACGCAATGGTGCCCCGGCAAATCACGGAGTTGCGCCGCGACGAGGTGGGATACATGTCCGACGACATTGGGCTCCACAAGATCTCCAACACGTCCGCGGAGGACTTTGCCGTGTCCTTGCATTTGTACACGCCTCCGTACGCGTCGCTCTATGGCTGCTCCATGTACGAGTCCGGCACTCTGCGGAAGCATCACGTGAACATGAGCAAGTACTACAGCTGGCAGGGGACCGTGTTGAACCAGAACGGGGGTTCGTCCTGCTGAGGCTTTGTGGGAGAAGATGTGATTCGGGCCCGGCCGGGTCTAGCCTTGGAGGCGGCGCGGGCTGTCATGGGGTGTTTGTATTCTGGTAATCGATGCCGATTTGTTGTTTGACTCGCTGAATTGTAGAGTGTTTTGTGGGTTGATTTGTGGGTTGATTTGTGGGTTGGACTGTGGGTGTCATGGGTCTCATGGATCATCAAGGAATTGTCTCGTTGATATCGGATGGGTGTGCCTATGGATCCATTCAGGAATTCTCTCACGAACACCGGATGGATTTCTCTGGGGTCAATCCAAGAATTGTCTCATGCTGATGGTTCTCATGGATCTTATGAACACCTGATGAATCAACACAGAAATCGTCTCATGAACACCGGGACATCTCATGGAATAGTTCAGGGACCGTCTCATGAACACCGGATGGATATCTCATGAATCAACACAGAAATCGTCTCATGAACACCGAATGAATATCTCATGAATCAACTCAGGAATTGTCTCATGAACACTAGATAGATACACCGTGTTTATGGACCTGCTCAGCAGTTGTCTCGTCGTGGCCCACCAAAAAACACCGCCGCTGTATTCTCAAGCCCTCTTGTACTTGGTCGGGCGACTGTGGTCTTCTCTTCCCTCGATGTCTTTGTAGTCGCGCTTGAGCAACTTTTCATCCAACTGCTCGGTATAAAACGCACCAAGCTTGGAACCGATACTAGGGCCTTTGGAGAAGGACGTCCCCCCGCCGTTTTCGTCCAAATCCGGCAAAGGCCCCGTCCTCACAAGGCCCCGTTTCCGCCGGACCGCATCCTCTTTGGATAGCTCTGTTTCCTCAAGCAAAAGGGCATCGCGTTTCTTGCGTGCCGCCTCTCGGAGCTTCCACTGGGTGTATTCATCCTCGGGCCGCATGTCGTCACGATCGTCTATGCCGTCGAACGGCACTTTCTCTAGCGTCTTTGAATCCACCTGCTGGAGATGCTCGGCCTTGGCCAACGCGGCACGTGCCGGACCACGAGAACCGGCGGCCTTGGGCGGTAGTTTCTTTTTGACGAAAACGGGCCTCTGGAGCCGCAATGCCGAGTCCGAGCCCGAAGAGCTGGCGTCCGAGTCGGAGCCGGAACCGGCGCTGGAATCGGCGCTGGAATCGGCGCCGGTTCCGGAGCCTGAACCTCCGTCCGATTCTCTCTGCATGTGGCGATTTTCTACGCAAGCTGCTTTAATTGAGTCCTCGTAATTCGGACCTGCAGTGGGAAGAAAACGTACTGTTGTGGGCCGTGGCGCTGTTTTGTCGGTGTTTTGTCGGTGTTTTGGGGCTCAGGCCGATGTGGTCTATATGAAGAACCAGCGAGCCACGAAGGTGGAGATGCCCGGAGGAGGGTCTGGGTTTTCTCTGGTTCTCTTTTTTTTTTGTATGTCTTTTCAATTTTTCAGGTTTTCAGTTTCTCTATTTTTCAGATTCCCTATTTTTCAGACTCTCTATTTTTTTTATCCTCGATCTTTAAGATTCTCGCTGTCTTGTTGTCTCCTGTTTCTCTCTTCTCTTACTCTATTCTCTTCTGCTCGCCCTCTCTGCCCTGTCTATGGAGTACATCTTTCGCAGCCGGCCATTCACGCGCAGCTGGAACTCCTGCTTCAGAAAACGGCAAGCGTTGGGCCGGCCTGGTTTGGTCTTGTATTTCCTTTTTGAAGTCATGCTGTTTTTTTGCTGGAACCTGTCTTTTTCGGTCCCATTGGGCAGTCCACTCAGGGCGTGTTTATGACGCGGTTGACTGTGAGTGCCTAGACATGGGACTGTTTATTGAACATGATAGGCTTGTGAAGAGCTGACTTTTTTTAGTGCAAGGCTAAAGGGTTTTTCAAGCCAGGCGGCGCAGCTGGTGGAAACTGCTTTTTGGCCATGAATCCACGCGAGGCACCGGGCTAGGAAAGACAAGAAGAAGATACGAACAAGGTGCTGTGGACAAGAAGCTATTAACGAGAAGAGATTCACAAGGTGCGATGAACAAGAAGATATTCACAAGAAAGCATCAACAAGAAGTGACCAAGAAGAGGCTATTGGGAAGAAGCTATTGAGAAGAGGCCGTGACATTAAAAAATAAGCTATGGAATTATCAAATACAAAACTATGGGGATACCAACAAACAACTGTACATATACTTCCAAAAAGGTCGTGGAGATACTTCCAGTGAAGCTATGGGAAACCCACAACAAAACCGATACCAACAAGAAATAATTGAACTATTAGGAGGATGACTATGAAACTACCAACAAGGGAGCTATGGAAATATTCAAGATTGAGCGCTTGATTCACTTCAGCTCAAATCGACTCTGATGTTTGGCAATTGTTGTTTAGGCTCGATTCTCATAAAAGCCATTTGTATTTTTTCTCTCCAAAGACACAATGCCCAAGGCGATGAAGAGCTTTGAGATGCGACATTTGCAGCCAGTTCGCTTGAACATTAAGAGCGTCAAGCAACCCGTTTTCCAAAATGAGACCTGTTTCGAGAAATTAATGATCTCTTGGACATGTGATTAGTCTAAATTAGTGAGATGTCACTAGTTTGGGAGGGAGGCCGTGAGTGGGGCGTGGTATGCACTTCAGACTTGGGTCCTTCTCATTTGTGGGGGCTAATTTTTTGCCATCCTGCTCGATTGGTTTTTAAGATGAGAGCACAGCTATGGAACTACAAACACGCAATTATATACAAATATCAACAAGCAAGTACCAGGAAGTATAGACCAGCAGGATAACTATAGAAACACCAACAAATAAGCTTTAGACAACAAGAAAGCTATGGAAATATTAACAGAAAAGCTATGTAGCTATCAACACGAAATTCTATACAAATACCAACAAACAAGAACCATAAAGGAAGTATGGACCAACAGGATAATTATTAAAATATCAATAAAAAGCTTTAGACAACAAAAAAGCTATGGAAGTACTAGCATAGAAGATTGGAAAAATTGAGAAGACGGCTAGCATTAACAAAATGCTACACACCAAAAATACCAACAAGAAAGTGAGACCAGTCACCACAAACAAAACAATACAAATCTCAACAAGAAAGCTACGGAGAGGCCTGCAAGAAAACTGTAGACCAATAGGAAACTATTGATATTTCAACAAAAGACCTATGGTAGTTGACGCGAAAACTTTTAGGGACTTAACGGGACATAGGAGCTATGTATTACTATTTGATCACTCCCGATCGGGCGAGGACTGCGAACTGATCAGAAGGGATCTGAAGCGGTACGGCCAGATACGGCAAACCAAGGACGTTGAGTGACTAGGCTGTGAGCTTGAATAGTAAATCGGTACTAACGAAAAGATGCATCGGTAAGGGTGGACACTGCTCCGAATGCAGTAACCATTATCTCGGGGGCAGAAGGCCATGAAGCCACTGGTTTTTAACGACCTCCATGTCCCGTGAAGTCCCTAACATGGAGGTCGTGGTCCCGAACAAAAACTATGAAGACACTAACAAGAGTATTCATACATATGGCGTCAAGAATGCTAAAACACTGATAAGAAAGTTTTTGAAATGCCAACAGAAGTCTATCATGATAACAATAGCAAGAGAATACGAAAAAAATGACAAGAAGGGCAAGAAATTATTTATGAGAGAGCTATATAATAAAAAACCAAACGATAAAAAAAGCTATCCAAGTCACAACAAACAAAAGATTAAAATTGTCAACAAGAAAGCTATGGGAATGCCAGCAAGATGACATCGACATATTAATACGAAGACTACGGAAAGACTAACAAGAATATGGGCGAGCAAGCAAAGCCATAGGCCCACAAAAAAACCTATGCATATTCCATATTGCTATAAAAACACTGATAGGAAAACTTTCGAAATGCCAGCAGGAAAACAACTCTTTCGACTTGAATGAGCTGCAGTTGTTCTTGGCCCAATCAGTCAAAGACTACTGCGAAGAATTGATGGTCAAAATGCTTCACGGGGATGAGTCATTCTATGAATCATCCAAAAGACCTAGAATTCGGCTCAAACCCAAGAAAGACTATTTGGCAGGTGTCTCTCGATCTTGTCGTTGTGGGAGCTCACATTGGAAAAGGCAAGAGAACTGGCTCGTATGGAGGCTTTATTTGAGCAGCATACAATGACGATACCGGCGAGTATGAAACGACTTGCAAGATCAGAACAGGCTTTTCCGATGAGGACTTGGCCTTTTTGTATGCTAAGCTCAAGCCCCCGAAATATCGGCTCCAAAGCCGTTCTATGTCTATGACACAACAAACTCTAATGCAGTGCCCGACGTGTGGCTCAACACAACACCCGTGTTTGAAGTTTTGACGGCTGATCTTCCTTTGAGTCCCATCTACAAAGCCCCGTATCTGGAATATGGTTAGGGTATTTCGTTAAGGTTACCATATTTCTCAGATTGCGCGATGAAATGGGAGTTGAGGATCACAAAAAGTCTTCTCAGGTTTCGGTGTTTTACCAGAGGCAAGCAAATGTGTCTTATATATCTGGCGACAATAGAAATGGATGTTGTGTAATATCAACAAGAAAGTAAATCAGATACCAGAAAGCTATAGACCAACAAGGAAGCTATACAGACAGCAACAAGCAAAGCTGTGCAATACCAACGGATAATCAAAGAAATACCAGCAAAAAGTATAGACCATTGAAAAACTGTATAATACTGACATATAGCCCATGGAAATAACATCAAGAAAAGAACAAACCGAAAAGCAAAGCTGTATAATACCAACAGATAATCTATGTAAATACCAGAAAGAAGTATGGACCTAAAGCAATGCTGTACAATACTAACAGAATCAACAGAAATTCCAGAAAGACCGACAAGCAAAGCTGTGCATCACTAACAGATAATCTATAGAATACTAGCAAGAAAAGCTGTACAATACTAACAGATAATCCGTAGGAATAACAACAAGAAAAGCTGTCCAATACTAACAGAAACAATACCAACAGAAACAATAGAAATTCTAGCAAGAAGCACATACCAATAAGTAAAGCTGTGCAATACTAACAGATACCCATGAAAGACCAGCGATAAAGCCAGAGGCCAGTTGGAAACCCGCACAAACCAAACCAGCAGGCAGCAACGTTGGCTTGCAGCACAGATTAAAGGGACAAAAATATATAAGTGATATATATGAAAAACCTTTAAACAGCTCTCAGTTACGTACCAAGTGTCTTAGCTCGGCACGTCCCCTTCCGTTAGTCACGGCCTGGAGGGTCCTCAAGGCACGTATCTGTTTACGTATTGGATATTACGTCATCGAATCCTAGGATAGGTCTATTGAAGTAGTCACTTCAACTCAGATGGTTGTAGCGGACTTAAGGAGTCCACTTTCTGCGACTCGCCACGCCCTCTGGTGTAAACCTTGAAGATCGTGGTGACGAACCAATTTAATTTTGTTAAGTTCTCCAAAGAGTTGTCGGCTGGGGCCAACATTGAGATTAAGCTCATGGGCTAGGTAAATTTTAACTCATGCCACCAGTATTTGGATGTTTCGCAGTTTTTGTAGATATGGCTTAGGAAAGCGTCGGTGACGTCTCTGTTGTTGTGAAATTGTTCTGTGCAAATAGAGCATTGAAAATCTGATGTCTAGTGATTGGACGAAAGATCGTATCGCTTTATCCGTTCTGCCTTATACAAGGCTTACCAAAAGTGTTTCCACCTCTCAGTCTGACGGACCGCGGGACATAAGCGAACAAAGCGTTGTGGCATTATTGGGAGTTGCTTTTCTTGCGTTTTGCGACTCAAGGATTTGTCAGTCTCCTTACCAATGGCTTTTTTCTCTGCTTTGTAGAGGCATGGAGTTCTTGCTAGCATTTGTTTGATCTGCTCTTGATTGTACTTTGAGCTTTCGCCTGGTATCAGTATGGTCCTTGTCCTAGGTACCACTTCTTTCCATGCTTCGATAGAGGCGATTTCGTTTTTCGTGAAGGTCCACTCCAAGTGTGTGAAGAATTGACCCGTTTTGTCAAGCATGAAGTTATACCATTCGGAGGTGGCTATATTTCTTAGCCTGGCTTGTTTGTCGTTCGATACGATTTTGTTCATGTGGTGAAGCATTCCTATTCTAAGGTACTGATTGTATCGCTGTTTTGGAGGGTATTCGTCAACACCATTGCCCGATGCCCTTCAAATTGGGTCAGTAGTTCAGTAAGGCCGTAGTCTCCGTTGCGAGGTCTCGCGTAAAGTTTAGACTTGTGGATTCTTAGGAACATTGTCTGAAATTTGAAATCAATTTTGTCGAGTTCTCTGGTGGTCATACATTGAATCAAATCTTTGTATACCGTTTTGGAACTGACAAAGATGTTTGTCCCCAATACTCGGCTGATCAAGTCGAGGCTCTGATATCCCAGCTGTCGGGTCATGGATGGGAGGCTGGCTGTGAATTTTGTCCGGTTGACCCCTTTTATTGGAATACCCAAGTATGTCGTCAGATCTTTGAAAAAGTAAGAATTAGGGAATCGGAGATAGTCTTGTTGAGATTTGGGGTAGCCTCGATGGAATCCGAGAAGTTTAGATTTTTCATAGCTTTTTCTGCTATTGCTCACTTGCTCGAAAGCTGTGATTATCTTTTTTTTTGTAGTCGTCTGTATCGTTGAGATATATGTTGACGTCGGCTGCGAACGCATGGTTCTTCATTGTTTGTAGTTGGACTCGTTGGTAACACAGTTTGATACCTTCAATCAGATTGAGTTGAGCTAGAAGCGGCTCTAGTGCCAAATTGAAAATAAGAGGCGATAGGGGGTTTCCTTGCCGTGAGCTGCCTTGTAGTGGAAAGTAAGGCCCTTCGCAGTTATTCATAGAAACCTGACCTGATTGCTCCGTTAAGATCAGTATTATTAGTCGAAGCGCCAGGTTTCCGAATCCCATTTTCGTAAGTGCTTCTTAATTATATTGATGAGAGACGCGATCAAATGCTTTGGTGAAAACTGCCATTAGTACTGCTTGGCGGAAAGCCAAACACACCGGAAAACCAAACTCACCCGAAAATGAAATTCACCCGAAAATGAAATTCACCCGAATACCAAATTTACTCGAAAACCAAACCCACCCGAAATCCAAACTCACCTGAAATCCAAACTCACCCGAAAATGAAGTTCACCCCAAAACGAAACTCACCCGAAATCCAAACCCACCCGAAATCCAAACCCACCCAAATCCAAACCCACCCGAAATCCAAACCCTCCCAAATCCAAACCCACCCAAATCCAAACCCACCAGAGACACCCACCAAGGCAGCCGACAAACCGCCGCTGCGCCTTCAAACGTTTGCAGCCGGCCGGCTCCTCTATCAACCAGCAGGGCCCCGTTATCTCCTGCACACAGCGCGGGCTCGCCCGCTGCAAGCAGGACCAGCCCAAGGCGCCCTCCAAGGCCCAGGATCGCTTCTTTCACCAGCACCAAAACAGCAAGCAATCGGCCGCCGCGACCCCCACAATGGCTTCCCAGAAGCAGGCGCCCGGCGCCCGGCCGCTCCAGCCGCTCAACGGCAAAATGCGCCACGGCTTCGCCGAGGAGTACAACTCGGAAACGTTCCTCTCGTCCTTGGCCAACAACTTCTACATCTACTACGACGACAAGCGGCACAACGCCAACGGCACGCCCATGCTGGCCCGCGTGAAGAGCCTGCCGCCGCACGCGAAAAACTACCAGCCCATCGTGGACTGGAAAATCATGAAGGACCGCCAGAAAACCGTGTCTGCCGTGCTTGTGCTCTGCCTCAACTTGGGCGTGGACCCGCCGGACATCATGAGGCCGTACCCCTGCGCCAAGGACGAGGCGTGGTGCGACCCCGCGGATTTCCCGGACACGAAAAAGGCCACCGAGGCCATCGGCAAGGGCCTCCAGAACCAGTACGAGGCGCTCTCGTTGAGGACGCGCTACAAGCAGTCCTTGGACCCCTGCGTGGAGGACGTCAAGCGCTTCTGCAACACGTTGCGGCGCAACGCCAAGGACGAGCGCATTCTCTTCCACTACAACGGCCACGGCGTGCCCAAGCCCACGGCCAGCGGCGAGATCTGGGTGTTCAACCGCGGATACACGCAGTACATCCCCATCTCGCTCTACGACCTCCAGACGTGGCTCGGCGCGCCCGTGATCTTCGTCTACGACTGCAACAGCGCGGGCAACATCGTGCACAACTTCAAGAAGTTTGTGCAGAAGCGGATCGACGACGACAACGAGGGCAACCACGACATGAGCGCGCCGTCCCCGACGGCCGCATACCTCGACTCCATCCAGTTGGCGGCGTGCAAGTCCCACGAGGTCTTGCCCATGAGCCCCCACCTCCCGGCAGACCTCTTCACGTGCTGCTTGACGTGCCCGATCGACATCTCGCTCAGGTGGTTTGTCATGCAGCTGCCGCTCAGGGAAAGCTACTACCTGATGCTCCCGAGAAACGCCACGGGCAACGTCGTTGTGCCCGGCAAGCTCACCGACCGCCGCACGCCCTTGGGCGAGCTCAACTGGATCTTCACCGCCATCACAGACACCATTGCATGGACCTCGCTCTCGCGGCCCATCTTCAAGCGCTTGTTCCGCCAGGACTTGATGGTGGCCGCCTTGTTCCGCAACTTTCTTCTCGCCAAGCGCATCATGCCGCACCTCAACTGCAACCCCGTGAGCGACCCGCCCTTGCCCGAGTCCGTGCGCTTCCATCCCATGTGGGACTCCTGGGACCTTGCCATCGACCAGGTCTTTGCCCAGTTGATCAGAAACAACGGCCCCGACCCGTTTTCCTACCCGCCCCCGGAGCCTCAGGGCAAGCCCGCGCCGCCCGCCGAAAAACCCGCCGCCCTGCACTCTGCCTCCAACGGCTCCATCTCGACGCACAGCGCTGTCTCCAGCGGAGCTATCCAGCCGCTTTCCAACTACCAGCACTCCACCTTCTTCGAGCAACAATTGACGGCGTTCGAGATCTGGCTCAAGTACGCCGGCTCGTCCACCAAGGACCCGCCGGAGCAATTGCCCATCGTGCTCCAGGTCCTCCTTTCGCAAGTCCATCGCCTCCGAGCGCTCATCTTGCTTCTGAAATTCTTGGACTTGGGGCCTTGGGCAGTGTACCTATCCTTGTCGATCGGCATCTTCCCCTACGTGCTCAAGTTACTTCAGAGCCCGGCCCAGGAGTTGAAGCCCGTTCTCATCTTCATTTGGGCACGCATAATGGCGATTGACCACACTAGCACGCAGCAGGAGCTATGCAAGGACAAAGGCTACAACTACTTTTACCTCATTTTGAACTCTAGTCCTTCGAACCCGATAGGCGCCCCGGGAGCCCCGGGGGGCTCCATCAACCACGGCAGCGGCTCGAACAGTGTCATAGTGAACGATGACCACAAAGCCATGAGCGCGTTCATCTTGACTTTGTTCATCAAGGATTTCAGAAATGGCCAACGGCTTTGTTTTTCGATCGAGCTAGTCACAAACTGCCTAAAGTTCGTGGCAAGTAGCGAGAACCCATTGTTGCGTCAATGGTGCTGTTTGTTGTTGTCTCAATTGTGGCTGAAGTACCCTGAGGGCAAATGGATCATTTACAAGGATGGGTACTTGGCCAGGTTCCTAGACTTAGTCAATGATCCGATTCCCGAAGTAAGGACTTCTATCATCATTGCACTCACCACGTTTTTGACGGATATACTGGACGATCCATCCGGCCAGCCTCTGAAGTCCAGATTGCCTATCCACCCCTCATCATTGCAGCCAAATGGCCCCTCAAATGGTCACTTTAGGGATACAAACGGCGGCGCCAACAACGTCAGCGCCGATTTAAGAAAGGACGAATTGCGCCAACAGGACTTGAAACTAGCAAACGTGATTCTCAAACTACTCGGTGATGGATCCACCATTGTCAGAAAAGAAATAGTGTTCTTCATCAATCGCTTCATTAAGATATATGACAAATTTTTCTTGGTCGTTGCGTTCAATCAATTGGAGGAAGAAATAGTCTTGATTGACAACCCCAACAACTTGCAAGAGTTTAGAAAGAAATCTCCTGCTTATGGATCAATATTCAGTTCCATTTGGAAAGCTTTGTTAATTCTATCGGAAGACCCCCACATTGAAGTAAAGGAGCTAGCGGAAACCCTCATTGACAGTGTCATGGTCAAACTAAATGAGAGTGAATTGGCCGGGTTGGTCAAAGAGATGCAAGAATATTTGTTGAGTAAATCTACGATCAACATCAAAGACAACTTCAAGTCAGCTCCGATCGTTGACCGAACACCAATTGCGATGCAGAGAGATAACGCGAAAAGACAAGCCTCGAGTGGTTCAGTCATCAACAGAAGAAATGAGCTCACCATGAATGGTGGCTCTTTGAAAACAAGGTCCGTTTCCTACCATACCGGAAAGGCTGATTCCGCAAACAGTCTGGATTCGTCCTCCATAACATCAAGATTGAAAGATTTCGGAATCAGCAAGTTGTTCAAATCTTTTCACATCAATGAAGACACTGACTTAAACAACTTCAAGCGGATTCTCAACTCTGGACCAGTCACTAGCCACTATGGCGTCGAGTATCAACCCAAGTCGCCGAGGTACCATTTGAGAGAAGAACACAATAAAACACAACTTCCTGATCAATCAGGATTTTTTGAGTACAGTTGCGAGACGTTCCAAGAACCCCAAATGTCAAAATCCGAAGTTGATGAGCCAGGCTCGGAAGAATATGTCAAAAGATTGTGGCGGCGGAACAGAAACGAACAGACCATCCAAGAGACTCAGCCACAGAAGAAAATGGCCCTTAGAGGTGACTGGAACCGGAACTTGACCGTCCTTAGCAACAAGACGCAACCCAAATTGATCGAGTTCATGCAATTCGAGAAATTATTAGTTTCGACCGATGAAAAAGACACGGTGACTGTATGGGATTGGGAGAGCAATAATGTGGTTCACAAATTCTCCAACGGAAACCCTTTTGGAACGAAGATTACAGACTTGAAAATTTTGAACGAGGACGATATCCCATTGGTCTTGACAGGATCATCAGACGGTGTGGTGAAAATCTATAAAGACTTCCACATTGAGGACGACAGTGAAGAAAATTCCGTGAAGATCGTGGCTGCGTGGAGAGCCCTTACTGATTTGCTCCTTACTTCCAAAAGTTCTGGGTTGATTAGCGAATGGCAGCAATCCCGGGGTTCTTTGTTGATCAGTGGTGATGTTAAAATTATCCGTGTGTGGGACGCGCCTCGAGAGCTTTGCTTGTCCGATATCCCCGCACGGTCATCTTCCTCGATCACAAGCTTGACGTCCGATCAGGTAGCAGGTGATATTTTTGTGGCGGGATTTGACGATGGCAGTTTGAGAGTCTACGACCGACGGCTCGACTCACGTGAATCGATGGTGAAGATTTGGCAGAATGGCCGTGGGGGAGCTAAGAATTTTGGGCGGGGGTCCATCAGGAATGTGCATATGCAGAGAGGTGGGTTCAGAGAGTTGGTAAGTGGTTCTGCAGACGGGTTCATCAACTTGTGGGACATAAGAAGCTCACTGCCTGTTTCCACATTCACGGGAACAGAGAAGAGCATACGATCCATCGATGTTCACGAGCATGCCCCCATAATCACAACAGGGTCTCAGGCAGTTAACATTTGGACGACTTCAGGAGACATTGTTTCGACCTTGAGGAATCCCCACGACACGTATCTCACGAACAGAACCTCGAACTATTTGTCCCGCATCTCGTTCCATCCTCATCGTATGATGTTGGCTACCAACTACAACCAGGACGGGCATATTAACATTTACACCTGCGCCGACATCATATCTGAATATTAAAGTATCGGTGTCAAATTCTAGGTTCAATGTACTACTGTACTACAAGTTAAAGTAATATTCGTTGACCAGCCGGGTCTTGAGCCTGCTTCCTATCGGGTGGAATTGCATCGTCTAATTCTGGTTTTTGGTTTGTGCTTTTCGTTCATTCGTGGAGCGTTCCGGAGTCCGCGCATCGGACTTCTACCAATACATATGGATGTTGCTTCACCTACAAAGAGCGGTGCAGTCACAAGCGCTTGATTCTATGTTTTGTGATTTTGGACAGAGCTTCTGGTGGCTCAATGACCAGGAAAGCCCACCAAACGATCGACAGACAATTGTGGCTTTTTCCCCCGCTTGGCTTCGTTAGGGTTGCAACACTCGTTCAGCCATATATGTGTAAGCCTGAAGAGAGGGAAGAAAAGCAATTTTTTTTTTTACCGCAAGCAAGCTTCAAACTCAATTTGATAACTTTTGAGGATACCCACCGCAGTGTATCTTCTTGCTTGCTGTGGGCCGGCGGTTTCCGTTGACGATTCATTTTACTATGGGCCCGGAGGCGACGAGCAACTATGCACACCGGCGCACTATCAGCACAATTTGCCGAGAGTGCCATCTTTGGATTTTTCATTTCAAACCCACGTCTCAGCAAAATGGCGATGTCTTCAGAGTTGGGAGCAGCGATTGAGGACGAGAACCTTCATTTCTCTCTGCGGGATGCGGCTTCTTTCAGGCAGCCGGGCCAGATTTCTGCGGTGCAAAAGATGATTTCCGCATGTCTGGGCTCATTAGTAACCTCCTTTGCGGTGACGCCATTTGACGTCGTCAGGATCCGAATACAGCAGCAGGAAATCATGCAAACAGACCGGAATTGCTGCAAGGCGCCATCGGTTGCACCTGCCTCTGCGGCCCGCTCAGTCACGTCGACACCCCCGGGAGTTTTCTGGATCAACAAGCCATACTGCGAATCGTCCAAGACTTGTCCCAAGATTACTTCCACATTCCAGGGCATGGTGGTGATCAGCCGAAACGAGGGCCTCTCGGTTTTATGGCGCGGGCTTTCGCTAACGTTGCTCATGGCCATACCGTCCAATATCATCTATTTCACCGGATACGAATACATCAAAGACATCTCCCCGCTACGCGACCATCCACTCAACTATCTCTTGTGTGGAATGTTTGCACGGACCATGTCGGCCACCGTTGTGTCTCCGATCGAGCTTCTAAAAACGCGGCTCCAGTCCATTCCCTCCGATTCACACGGGAACAATCCCCGAAGCAAACTCATCAGCTCCCTACTAAAAGACTCGGCCGCGGCCTTCAAGAAAAACGGCTACGGCTCGATGTTCACCGGCCTTCAGATCACCCTCTGGAGAGACGTGCCCTTTCTGGGCATCTACTGGCTGTGCTATGAGTTTTTCAAAGAGCGTTTCAGTGCAAGCTTGGGCGTGGACTTCGACAATAATCACGTCAAGCAGGACGACTGGAAGGTGTTTGCCACGAGTTTCGTGTCAGGGTCCTTGAGTGGCGTGATCTCGGCGTTCTTCACAAACCCGTTTGACGTGGGCAAAACCAGACTCCAAATAGCCACCCAGAAGGAGCCCAAAACGAAGGCGTCGATGTTCCAGTTCCTCTCGCACATATACAAGATCGAGGGAGCCGGGGCGCTCTACAGTGGCTTTGCTCCACGCGTCATGAAGATCGCCCCGCTGTGCGCCATCATGATATCGTCGTACGAGATCGGCAAGAAGATTTTCAAGGACAACCTGTAAGCGGCGATGGAGAAGATGTATATAGACGTTGCATGTAATTGATAAATGAGATATTGCCCGACCGGTAATCCCCCAAGACACAGTGCAAGGACACGCCGAGAACCGCCCTCGGCCAAGGCATCACTCAGCTATGCATCCCCCAGCCTTCCCTGTTCTCCTCGAAGTTCCGAATGTCGTATATGGTATCCTTGTCCCTGAGCCCACTGGCAAGGTCGTCGTGCTCTCGCGCGACATTGCTGGCAAAGAAATCCTCCCTCTTTAGCAACTCCGCGATATCCCTGAGGCTGGTCTCGATGCGGGCATCCGACCCGCTGCGGTCCTTCTTTCCGCTCCCCAGCCCAGAATGGTTTTCCGGAGGCCGCATGTTCAAAGGACTGGTTTTCGAGCTGTCGAGCGGGAATCCCGTGCCGGACGGATCACAGTTCGGCATCTCCGATCTGCGCACGGGCGACGTGGGGTCGCCTTCGCGGATCTGTCCCGCGAGCGTGTTTGCCTTCTGGTTCAAGGCGATCAAAGCGCCCTGGAGCCAGGTCAAGTACTCGGTGATGGCCGCCCTCAAATTGACAGACGCGGTGCGGGCCAACTGCTGCTCAATGAGCTTCAAGTTGTACTCGCTCTCCTCGATCTGGTCCAAGTAGAGTGTCGACTGCTGGGCCTGGGGCCCCAGCTTGAGCGCGGTGTCGTTGTACTGCTTTTGCAAGTTTTCGTGGATGGACAATAGAAACTGCTGCCGCTCCTCGCGGCTGGCAATGGCGCCCAACTTGACCTTGAACGAGTTCAAGCGGTCGGCCTGGGTGGCGAACGCCAAGCCCACGTTTTCGATGAGGTCCGTGAAATCACGCATCATGGTGACCACGTCCTCGTTGGGCAAATCCGTGGCCCACGTGGTGAGTGCCTCGACGAGCGTCTGCTGTGACGTCATGGCTTTTTTCTGGCATTTGGTGGCTTTTTCGATGAGCCGCTGCAAGTCCACGGCCCCGATTTTTTTTTTCGTCGGTGCTTGGGGATACTGGGCCACCAACTTGTGGAGCATTTTCGACACTGCTGCGGTGGTGGGCCGCTTCAACGTAGAGTACGCTGTTTGGAAGACAGACACCCCGGGCGCTTTTTCCATTTTCGGTGTGAGTTCTCTTTTGTGTGCTGCGGGCTCTGGGTCAGCGGGGCCAGAATCTCAGTACCAGATTGTCAGTTTGAAGTGGTAGGAGCTTGGCTTGACTTCGGTGCTGGAGCTGGTTCTTGTTTTTTTGCAGACTTTCGCACTGTCGCAATCCGGGCCTATTTGTGCGTGGCCAATTAATTGAGTATTGGGCAAAACAAAAATCCGTCCTGGAAGCTTTAGGAACCGTTGACGGGGATCCTGGTGACGGGGCCCGATGCTTTATCGAGTGCCTGGAGCGTGCTTAAGCCTGCGTGTTTGTGGCACCAAAACTCATTTATTAGCTTGGTGAACCCTGGGCTTCAACACGCGCTCTGACGCACCGGCTGGCTAGGCTGATTGTGAGTGCATTCATCTCGAAGGAGCCGCAAAAGGAGTAGGCCGGCATGGGCGGAGCTGAACGGGTGGCCGGGGCCGAGGATGAGTTTTGATTTTTTTTGGTTGTTTTCTGTGGGTCAGAATGCATGAATCAAGGGAAGTCGTTTGTGAGTGGGAAATTACCTGTTCATTGATGGATGGAGGCACCAACCGGTATGCCACAAGGCAGGGGGCTTCGAAGATGACTTTTTTGGAGCAGTTTGTGGGAGCGTTTTTCTGGGGAGCAGTTTCATCAAAGCAGTTTCGTAACAGCAGATCCTCCGGAGACGTTCTTTCAAAAGGTTCTTTCAAACGGCTCTTTCAAACGGCTCTTTCAATGAATTTTTCAAACGGCTCTTTCAAACACTCTTTCAAACGGTTCTTTCAAACGGTTCATTCAATGGTTTAAAACGGTTCTTTCAACGGTTCTTTCAACGGTTCGTTCAACGGCTCTTTTGAAAGCAGATGCTTCAAAAGCAGCTCTCGCCACGACAAATCCCCTACCCCCGCCATACATTTCGTAAAACAACATCACGCACCGAGTGGGACACCACCAGCACCCCCTCAAATCCACAGAAAATATCCAACCTTTAGATGAGCAGAAGTCGACCCGAGGCACAACCAGGAAGTTCAACACTAGGCTGCGCTGTGTTCCGAAATTTCTCCAAGAATGCCCACAGGCGCTCCAGAACACACGAAAATACTCCAAAACACACGTAAACACCCACAGACTCCCCGAAATTACCAACAACGGTGTCTAAGGCCACCCTCCGTGCAACCCCGGCTTCCCCACGCAGGAGCACGAATCGCCCCAAAGACACCCCCTCAAACACAAGGCCACGGGGCCCGATCTATTTCTTCAGCACCTCCTCGTCGATGTTCAAGCCCGTGACCCTCAGCACCGTGTGCCTCAAGTTCTCGAGCCCGTCGTGCACCTTCCGCTGGCCCGAAACGGCCGTTTCCTCGACTCTCCCGACCAAGCCATGGGCCTGCTCGTACGCCGCCACCTGCTGCTGGGCCACCTGCGGCAAAACACGCTGCTCGGCCCGCCACAAAAAGTCAAACGTGTTGCGGAACGTCTGCGGCAAGAAGTAGCCGAACGCTGCCACGCCAAGCACCGCCGGGTACACGGCACGTGCCACTATGTTTTTGTTCCGTGCCATGATGTTGCCCAGAAGCCCGGCAATGGCAATATACACTCCGTTTGGGAGCAAGTCCTCGTGCCTGCTATGCAAGGCGGCCACGGTGCCGGTCACACGACGCTCGTGCTCGAGCACCACGTGTTTCTTGTCGTTCAAATACGAAAACGACGCCTGGTATGCACAAAACACGGTCTGGCGCACGGACCGGAGCGCCGATTCGAGCGGCGAAAACGTGCGTACCGTCACGCCGTTGACGAGCGTGCGCGGCCCCAAAACCTCCGTCTCGGCGGGTGAGCTGGGCGTCACAGTGCCGGGCAAAGGCACCACCTGCTGTTCGTTCTCGTAGAACTTTCTCTTGGAGTCGTTGTGTACGGGTTTTTGGACCGCAGTTTGCACGCATGCGGCGGCGGCAATGCTGGCAAGGGTCAGGAAGGCTCTGGACATGGTGAAGACGGGCGTTTTGTGTGCAATTGCGTGGCAGATAAAGATGGAGGAGGAGTTGAGTTTCGCTTGAAAATTCGGCCTTGGCCAATTGGCCGTGGTGCACGGGTCTGTGCGCGGCGCCGGCCTCTCATTCGCAGGCTGGCCCGGTAGGACTACGATACGGGAGGCATTTTTTTTTCTGGTGCCGTCGTTGGTTTGAGTATGTGTACTTTGAAAACGCAGCGGCTGCTTTGGGGGGTGCTGGGCAAAAAGCGTGGCACCATATCTTTTTTTTTGGGCGTGTTCTGTGCACTTGGTGCGCCTAATAAATGGCCTATCAAGTATATTACAGTCGGCCTCACGTATATTTGAGGCGGGTTCAGCCGTAGCCACGTGACCTTGGGCAAAAGGCCCCAAGAGTATTGGGACCACCAGGACTGTGTGCTGACAAGTCGGAGGTAGTGTTCTTATTAAATGGGTTCTTCCACTTAGACCGAGGACCCGAAAGCTTATTAAGAAAGTGGAATGAATGTTCGAGTGCTTCTTACATGAAGGCAAACGACACGAGGCGATCTGGTTTGATGAAGGCTTCAAGTTCATAAAAATATCTTGATGGGTGTAGCAAGGCGCAAGCTGAAGTTCTGCCCCATGTGGTTCTTTAGTATGCTCTTGTTTTATTTCGGGAAAAACACTGCCGTTGTCAGTAGACTCCAATCATGCAAAGCCATGAAACCAAAGTGAGTGGCCTCGAGGATTGGCATTGGTTGTTTATGAATCAGACCACTCACAAGACATTTTGGTTCCGCTGTTATCAAGCGGAGAATCTCAGATACCTCTTATTGTGAGACATGGTCACCTCAACGTCACTGCAAAAAAACCATGCAAGAAGACTTCTGATAACGGTCGTTCGAAAAAAAAGTTCCAAGGTATGATTCTTATATGGACTTGCGGGACCTGTCTCCAACATTTGGAGTCACTTTTTAAAAAATGGCGCAAGTCAAAGTTGGTCCAGATAACTTCGAGTAAGATACATGCAGCGCAAAAGGTAGCGATGCCCACTTGCGAAGAAAAAAAGATTCTGTTATTTCACTCGTTACCCAAAAAGCTTAATATCACAAATGTTCTCACGATGATTGGTAATATTGGTTGCCTCTGGGAGAATTTGTGATCTCCCAACGAAGTATCCAGCGGTTCAAATCGTCCACACAATATCCCACATGAAATCCTCAAAAGTATTTTCATATAATCTATTTGGCCACCTGTTCTTTAAATCTCGAGAGTGATTCTTTTACTTCATCGAGAGCTTAAAAATCAGCACTCCACTGCTGGGTCTTTTCTCGGTCTAACGCCATGCGCACGAGCATAAATTTCGCAGCCGTTTTTCAACACGCCAGCATACCACGAACAACAGTAGTCATACATAATTTGGAATTGACCCTTATTTATTTTTCTTCCTACCAGCTACATTTACTTGCTTCGAAAGCTACAGTAATGACTAGACAAACACTCAAGCGTTTCGGGCTCCCAACTTGGTTATTGCATATTATTGGGCTTGGTCCTATTGTTTATTACGTTATTTCACTCTTGGAAACAGACCCCACTCAAGTTGCTTCTAAAACCTTGAATTTGATAAGAAGCTCTAGGAATCAAGCCTTCAAGAAGAAAATGGCGTTCATTGACATAGGAAATCATGGAGTCCGCGGCAACCCCAGCTCAGCTGGGACTCCCCACGGATCTGCCATAAGTACCTTTATGCTCACAACAAAAATGATGAATCGTGGTACAATGTTTCGTGCTCGCAACAAACACAGTTTTGAATTGCTTAAGGAAAAGTCCGAAGCTTGTTCCTCGCCTTTTGTGCGTGTTTCTGCAACCACAGCAAACGCATCTGTCAAGAAATCAGATGGAGTTGTGAGCAGCAGCAGCAATACTGACAACGCTTGCACAGCAAAAGAATTTTCTAGATTTCTTCAGAAATCTTTGGTTAAACAGATAGAGAAAGATCTGACTAGTGGATTCGAGATCAAAACTTCTTTGTCTGAACAGCGAGTTGTGGGCTCAGAAGAAGTGGGAACAGAGGTATTCGACATGCGCAATCCGTTTCTGATTTTGGCTGTGATTGACGAGGAAATATTTCAAAGGCCTTTGGTCAGAAGAAATCGAAAAGTGAGAAAACACAAGGCATTATCCCTGGACTCTAGTTTGATGTTGGATCTGACCCACGAAATTAACGATTCTGAGAGTGAAGGAGCTGTGGATCTGGAATCATCAGAGAGCCTCAAATCTGAACCCAGCACGGATTTCGCAACCCCTCCCACGGATTTCTCTCTTCTTGGGGAAAAGAAGGAAAGGAAAAGTGAAATCGCCTTGATGATCCGCGAGATAAGAAATAAGCTCAATTCCTATGGCAGCAATGACCAAGGTCTGAAACTGGAAGCTGCTATGGCTGACTCCCCCTTTACTTTAAAAAATGCCGGTCTTGCTCCTGCTATCGCTAAGTCTGGTTCAAGAAAATATTGCTCATCAAACTCAACAAAGATAGCTCCATTGAGATACAGGGTGACCAGCCAGACCGCCAAGTGGGGGGCACAAACTAGAAGGCACAGCAGAAGTGTGCCTCATCATCTGAAGGCTGAATGGGAATTGAAATGGTCGCCCAATTCTGCTTTCATACTTGGATTTTCGAAAAGCACTAGTCTGGAGTTAAAAAATAGCGAGCATCAAGCCACGTAGCACTATGTGAGAATAGAATACGGGGAGAAAAGAACTGGGGCTGACGACAACAAAAGATGAAAGATACCTCGGAGACTATTATGTGAATGCGTGATCAATGACCCACCTCATTCAAAAGATCAGCAGTTTGAGCTAATGAGATAAAATGACAAGAGACAAAAGGGAAACAGAGATTAAAATGCATATATAGATTTAGCTTTTTGCATCGATCAAACTTTTCCGATGAAGATAGTGACAATGGTTGCGTTTCAATGTGAGAATTATCCACAAACAAAAAAAAAGTGACTGCATTTTACTAATATACGCTCTTAACAATTTGGCCTTTGAAACATCGTTTTACCCAAAAGTCAAGAGAACGAGCAATGGGATTTGGGAGCAGGCACCGGGGGAAGCTGTAGTCCTGCCCAGACTTTGTATATACATTGCAAAAAGAATATGCGTACTGAGGCAAGAGCATATAACAGAGGGTTTGGTTTATCTAAGAGATATCACTGACAATCAATATTCTTGTCTGAGATTTGAGATATGTGATTTTCTGCCAAAAAATTAGAGTCTAATACTACCGCCATGTTGACCCACATTGATTTCCGTTGAACATGAAGGCATATTTGTAGAAGAGGCATGAAACTTGATCCATATAGAAGCGTGTTCTACGCAATGTTTACTTTGACATCGTATTTATCCTTTTTGTATCTCAAAGCGGCATCACTTTCAGTCACAAGACAGTCTCTTTTTAGTGGTCGTTGCCTAAATTCAAGTAGTTTCCAACCAATTGTACTTGTTAAGCAAGCCAAGACCGAATTTGGAATGTTGATTATATGCAAAGTTTGGCCAATAGACACTAACAAAAGCGTAGGGAGAAAAGTTGGCGGCTAAAAGCTGGTAAAGAGCCGTTTTCAGGCATATCACATCTCCTGATTACTTTGAATCGTGGCTTGTTAGTATGAGTTCTGACAACGCTTTGACACTTGAATAAAGGCGTCTTGGAATCTCAGAGAGCCTTCGTCAGCTGTAGTGAGAATCAGGCGAAAACTTCATTGGAGTGAATTCATTGGGGCAAGAATATTGGTAGAGTGGTGTGGAGAAAGATGTTTATAGGGTCATGATTCCATTGGAGATGGATCATTGGAAGGAATCTCACTGGAGTGAAATATTACTGGTACGATGATTCTATAGGAGAGAAAATCATTGAAGAATGAAAATTTTCGAAACAAGAACATTGTTGGAGTAGTGAGTCTATTGGATGAATGAGACCTTTCGAGTTCTAAGACCATGGGAGTATGCATCTCTCTGAAGTAGTAAAGCCTGGAAGACTGGTCACCAGAGTCAGAACCTTATCTGAGAAGAATACCATGGATCAAGAATTTCATTAGAGTAAGGCGTAGATCAACACGAGGTCATGTCTGATGGCATTTTACGTAGTGTGGTCTTAATACAGAAGATCTTTCCATCACTGGTGTTTTTTGCTTTCGGGTTGTCGCCGATATTAGCTCTGGATGTCATCCACCTTAGAGCTGCATTCCCAAACAGCTCGACTCTGGTGGTCAAAATAGAGCAAGCAAAACTTTTGGGGTCATAACCCTCCATGGTGCCATTCTCTAGTGGGCTTCAGAATGGTAGGGCTATCTGAGACCACCCAAATTCCAATTCCTGACGATTTCACACAGGCCATATCTAAAGCCATTTCTGCTGGATTTCATCCGTTTGTTGATACGCATGATTACAGCAGGCAGTAATACAAGGTGGAGCAAGATCAAACTACAGCTTTCTAGCATCATTTACAGCTCTCGGCCTCTGACTAGACCTATCGCACAATCTATGCCTAAGAGTCTAGCAGTCCGGGCGTCACGAAACAGAAGAAAAACAAGAAAAGCCGGAAGAGCCAGAAAATCAAGAAGAGCCAGAAAAACAAGAAAAACAAGAAAAGCCAGAAGAGCCAGGATAACAAGAAGAGCCAGAAAAGCCAGAAAAGCCAGAAAAGCCAGAAAAGCCAGAAAAGCCAGAAAAGCCAGAAAAGCCAGAAAATTCAAAAACCCCAGAAATTCAGAAAAGCCAGAAAAGCAAGAAAATCAAGAAAAGCAAGAAAAATAAGAAAAGCCAGCCGGGAATCACGACACCTGCCAGAGACAGACCAGCCCATAACGACGCCCAACATACCTCCAGGCCCGGCCCGGTCACGTGACCCGCCCGTCTGCAGGACGCCGATGCTCATCTAGCTGCGCCGGCCCAGGCCGAAAAGTCCATCCACAAGCCAGCCATGACCCGCCGAACAATGCCGCTGCGGCCCCTACATTTGACACGTGCGTTGCTAGGCACGTGCACGCCAAGACGCAGCTTGCAGCACCTGGCCCCGGCCGCCGCCGGCGAAGAGAGCCGCGGGCCCGAAACAGCCCGGGCCCAGCCTCAGTTGCCTTTTGACCGGCGGAAAAATGGCGAGAAATTCGGGCAGTTGGTGCGGGACGAGCACTGGCGGCCCGCCGGCGCGGCCGCCGACGGCCGGCACGTGAAAAGCGTGGCGCTCGCGGGCGAAAAGCCCGCGTATTTGGAGGCGCCGTCGCCGTTCCGCAAGGCCGACGGCTCGTTTGTCCATGGCCGCAATTCCGAGGAGGCCCGGCTCGACCCGCGCACGCTCGGGGCCCGGGTGGACAGCCTGGTGACGCAGCTTCCCGCCGAGCTCGCCGGGGTCATTGGCAGAAACATCTTGCTGGCGGTGCTGCCGGCCAAGCTTCGCGAGCGGGCTGCGCAGATCTACCAGAGCCTTGAGAAGGAGCAGATCCAGCGGGCGCCGGAGCTGGCGCTCGACGCGGACGCGCACATTGCGGCGTTGTTCTTGCAGAACTACTCGCACGCGTACCGGGCGCTTTCGGAGTTGAAGCAGCGTGTCGGGCCGCATTTCCATCCGGACCTGGTGCTTGACATTGGCTACGGGCCGGCCACGGGCATGCTTGCGTTGAACGAGCTCATGGGCGCCGGGTTTGCGCCGCGCACGAAGGAGGCCTATGTGGTGGGCCGGAGCAACCGGGAGATGAAGAAGCGGGCCAAGATCTTGTTGTCGCGGCAGGTGAGCGAGATTCCGCGGGGCGGACCAGGGTCGAGAGAGACGGATTCGAGAGAGACGGAGTCCAAAAAGACGGATTCGAGAGAGACGGAGTCCAGAGAGACGGATTCGAGAGAGACGGAGTCCAGAGAGACAGAATCTCAAGAGACGGAGTCCAGAGAGACAGAATCTCAAGAGACAGAGTCCAGAGAGACAGAATCTCAAGAGACAGAGTCCAGAGAGACAGAACCCAAAGAGACCGAACCCAAAGAGACAGAACCCAAAGAGACAAACGACGCCGGCGCCCACTACATCGGCCAGGTCGACGCGTCGCAAATCACCGTGGTCACCAGGTTGCGCGACGCGCTCCCCTCCACCAAGCAGTACGCCCTCATCATCGTCAACCAGGCCTTGCTCTCGCGCGAGTACAACTTCCCCAAAGACGTGGACACCAACCTCCACATGATCTTGCGGCTCTTGAAGCCGGACGGCCACTTGGTGATTGTCGAGCGTGGAAACGCGCTCGGCTTCGAGATCGTGGCCCGGGCCCGCCAGGTCATGCTCCGCCCAGAGTCCCACCGGGGCGAGGTGGGCCGCGTGCCCCGGCCATACATCCGCGGCTCGTCGGTCAAGCCACAGAAACTCCGCAAGGAGGACCAGCTCATCACAGAGGACCATATCCAGTACGAGCACGCGCTTCTCCAGCAGATGGAAAACGGAGATGCGGCCGGCGCTGCCCCAGTGGGCCTCGAGGCGCAGATCAATGCCAAGTTCGGGCCTGTTTCCGACGAGGACATGAGGTTTGAGTTTGAGGATACCGGCGATTATGACGTGGTGCCCGTGGCCGGGCGGGGCATGCCAGACGGAGCCAACGACAGCACGACAAGTGCCGAGAATAACGGGCCTGGCCCAGAGGCCGAAAACGGCCCTGGCTCAAATCCCGAAAACGGCCCTGGCTCAAATCCCGAAAACGGCCCTGGCTCAAATCCCGAAAACGGCCCTGGCTCAGAGCCCCAAGGCAATGGCCCGCCTGACGTCGACTTCCACCTCAGCGTCGTGGCCCCCTGCGCCCACCACGCAGTGTGCCCCTTGCAGCTCGGAGACCCCAAGTTCTACAAGATCTCCGGCCACCAGCACCGGTTGCAATTCTGCAGCTTCCAGCAGGTCGTGGAACGGCCACGCTACACCATGGAGCTCAAGCGCGGCAAGCGGTTGGCCACGCTGTGGAACAAGGACGCCGAGGACGGCTTCGGGCTCAAGCACATGCCCAAGAGCACCGCCAAACTGCTCCAGGGCTCCGGCCGGCCGGGCGGAAACAACTCCGAGTCCGGCTCCTTCTCGTACTTGATCATGCACCGGGCCAAGAACGGCCCCGACGATCTCCGGGCCATCCGAGACGCCCGGGACCACCAGCACGAGGACCCCTGCGCGTTGCCTCGCATCCTCGAGACCCCGGAGAAAGTCAAGAAGAACGTGCGCTTGAAGGTGTGTGCGCCGTCGGGCAACATCGAGTTGTGGCAGGTGCCCCGCAGCGTGGGCAAGCAGGACTACCACGACGCAAGAAAGGCCCGCCAGGGCGACCTCTGGGCCTTGGGCAAGAAGAGTGCGTTGGTCAAGTCGCGCTTGTCCGACGCCCACATGGACAAGTTGAAGCGCATGCTGAATCTCCAGCGGAAGTTCGTGGTCAAGGAGAAGCGCAAGCAGCAGACGAAGAAGCTCACCAGCAGACTGGAGGCCGATTTCGACGACCCGCTAGACGACCTTGATTCCTTGGCCTCTGAGTTGGAGCAGTCCCGGAAGTACCGCGCCAAGGGCAAGAAGGCCGGCTTCGATGTGGACTTGCGGGCCTACGACGGGAAATAGCGCCTTTTTTTAGTTGATTGTACATAGAAATAAGATTTTTTTGGCAGGAACGGGCCTCGCGTGGTTGGCCGTGAGGACCCGGGGCAGAACAGGGGCTCTCTGCCAGCACACTAGCTGTGTCGACGTATGCGACTGTCTGCCCAAATTTTACGGCAGATGTCCTGAGTCTGTTTTTTTTTTTAATCACGCCCGTTGTTTGAGCCAAAATCTTTGCGTTAGCTTTTGAGGGTCGAGAGACATAGATCCACAGGATCGAACTGCCAAGCGTCGTGGGGCGATCTTGTGGGTTCAAGCTGGCAGGGTGATGGCCCTGGATCAGAAAACGGACTGGGCAATAGGGCCGGGTCGGGATGAGACGTCTTGTCTTTTCCGAACCTGGACTATTAACGACGGGCGACAATATCTTAAGCTTTGCAAGATGAGGACTGACGGACCAGTAAATTAGAGGCCCGTTTCTACTCCAGAAGGTCGACTTTTTAAATGAAAATGGACTGCATTCCTACGGGCCTGCTGATAAGAAAGGGCGACTTGCATGCTAATTGTAATATACGGTCAAGTCGAAGGGATAGCTGCTGGGAGAATGCCAGTAGTATAAAACCGGGAGATGCATTTAACATCATGTCATTTTTCGAATGAATGCTTCTCAGTAATGGGATGAAATTCACTTCAAGAAGATTGTGTAAGAATTGTATTAGGTTATGTATATCAGCGAGTATTAGGTTAAGTATATCGAAAAGTATTAGGTTATGTATATCGAAAAGTATTAGGTTATGTATATCACCGAGTATCAGGTTATGTATATCAACGAGTATTAGGTTATGTATATCGAAAAGTATTAGGTTATGTATATCACCGAGTATTAGGTTATGTATATCACCGAGTATCAGGTTATGTATATCAACGAGTATTAGGTTATGTATATCGAAAAGTATTAGGTTATGTATATCACCGAGTATCAGGTTATGTATATCAACGAGTATTAGGTTATGTATATCAACAAGTACTAGGTTATGTATATCAACGAGTACTAGGTTATGTATATCAATGAGTATTAGGTCATGTATATCAACAATAGTACTAATAGATGATTCCAGGATATGCAGCTCTTTGATTTCTCAAACATCAATGTATTTGCAGTCTGTTATTCTTAGCTCGCAAGCACAGCAGTCGATTATTGAGTCTGGATCTTACTTTCTCAGCGGGCGGTATTGCTTTCTACTCTATCTACAATATTTCAATCGTATCCTTTTGAGCCTCAACAAACCTTTTCCCGATCTCTCACAATACTTACCGCAAAGGTGCCACAGGCAATCTACACATGCTACCAAAATCAAGCGGCACGGAAAATGATCCCCCTGACGTGAAATGTCCCAGGATGCACGTAGATGTCACCAAGGTCAAAATCGAAGACAGCGCCAGTCAAGAAGTCCTGCCAATATCATATTCCTTGCATCGAGCCTCTGCCAGAAGTACTTTCATATATCCCATTGACTCGGACCTAGACCTGATAGAGCTGTCGGTGCAGCTCTGGCACATGTATAAGAACGCCAGAAACATCAAGCCGTGTCAAATACATTTGAAAGGGAGCACTAAACTAAACAAATGAGAGACCCATCAAAGAAGAAATGTGTGGGCAGAAATGTTAGGTATGTCTCCATGGGATTTATTCCATATATTCCAAGAATCGTGAGTATTTCCATGCATGCTGTAACTGAAATGACCGACAATGGCAAAACATGATGGGCTAGACCATACTTCCGGACTTCCAACACCAGTGGTTATTGCCCTTCGACTCCAGGGTCAATCCCACGGTGCTCAATAAAAAATGACGAAGCAGACCAAGCCTGCAAATTCTGGCCCACCTACGGCCGCCTGGAACGGTAAATATCTGTATATTTGCATGCATTTGGCCGACTCACTAGAAAGTCCGTGCCGATAACCTGAGACGCCTTGCCACATCCAGGTGGTTGTGCCTCCCCAAACACAAATCTACGGCACCAAATCTACAAAACTGGACACCAGCTTCAAGTGTTTAAATATGTGTATTCCAATTACCTGTCCGTGGACTATCTATAATACATATGCATTCTGAGGATTGTAGCTTCACAATAAGCACGCGCCGTGCCCACTCAGCACTGATTCAGCACGCACGTGTTCGTGTGAATTCCAGTCATTGAACGCAAGGATCTTCATGACTGACGAAGAAGTAAAAATAGCATTAAGCGAGATGAATTGGTGGAAAAAACGAGGACGAGGGAGCTGCATCGCCCACAGCCATCCCTGGGCCATCCTCATAAATTCTGATGTTCCTTTTTTTTTTGTTTTTTTGCAGACTTTTTCTTCCCGGGGGTTTGTCGACTCTTGATATTTTCGTTCCTTCTACAAGTCCATAAGCTAGACGCGAATTTACTTTCTTCTGAAAGAACAGCCCTCGGTCAACTTAGCCTTACCGCCAGATGGGGTACACAAAACCGAAGAGCAACCGTCACACGTGACAGCAGTTTGGGCGTGGGAGAAAACAGTAGTGATGTTAAGGCATCCTGGGCACTTGACATCCATGAAAAAAGATCTGGGCGATTGGACCAAGGTCTTCAACTTGTGTTTCTGGGCCTCGGAGGCAGGGTTTGGGTGCAACAAATCTTGGACTAAAACCATCTTGAATGTACGTTCTGTTTGTTTTCGTGAGAGATAAAAGAGAATGGGATAGATATAAGTATGGTGGGGAGAAAATTTTTTACCGATCCTCACGCGAGAATAGGCCGCACACGACCTCAAGAAAAAGAAACCCGTCTGTTCATGCGGCGAGGCATTGTGCAGGGCACATACAATTAGATTTTCTGGTTCGTGAAGAAGTCGAGAATTATTTCAGTATATTCTTGAGTTCATGTTAATCTAGTGCGTGAAGTATTATATCTAGATTTTTTTTTACATTTTGGCCAGACGAGTTTGTTGTTTCACGTTCTTCAGGTATCTGTAGTGGGTGTCCTGCCTGCAGTACCGGAACCGTTTAGGAATTCCGCGAAAGAACAGGATAGACCTGATGGTGATTCTGCAAGCCTTTCTTGCAATTCTCTAGCAATCAGGACGCTGACGCTCTGTTCGGTATTCCGCGAATCCGCCCTCTGGTGAAAGCGAGGTACAACGTTTGCTACTTCATTATAGACGAGGGAAAATTAAGAGTCGCCCAGTTATCTTGGATTTGATTGAAAATGACTGTATAACTAAAATTTGCGACATATAGCAATCTTCCCTTGACACATGGACGGGATTCGAGCACGCTATGCGACAGACGGTAAATTTGAATTAATGTAATATATGGGCCGAAAGATGAAAACATGAAGAACATATAGGAATGAAGCTCAAGGAAAAATGGATTTGCGAAGAAAAATACTTTTATAGGGAGATGGAAGGGTATGCATGGTTTGTGCTATACATTTGTCTGTCCACTCTGGGGTAAGTATAAATGATAATAGTATTCAAATGGTAATACGTCAGATATGTCACAGAAGCGGATGATCGTTACCAATGACATCAGTATTTAATATATACAGGAGAGATTGAGTAACGTGGGAAAACACTAAGTATAAGTGCGCGGATCTAGCAAGTTAATTTATATAAGTTGTAAATCGACTGTTTACAACTGATACTAAAAAGAAAAGATCAATCAAGATAGACTGGCATTATAAGGTCCTTGGTATCAGGGTAAGACTGAGGGTCCATGTTAGCGCATAAAAGACAATAGGCGATTCCGTTACTTTGAGTTCCGTCAGATACCAATTTGAATAACTTATGGCATACTCTGGAGCTATCGGGTCTAATTCACGTGACTTATAGACAAAGCAAATATTCCTAGAGCTTTGAAAAAATCAGTGACCAAATAGTAATACATAAGGCCTATGTCCCTTGAGACACTGAATGTTTTATTCTCCCTCGGCCAAGTGAACGATTCCATAATACAATTAAAAAATGTTGGCACAATATGTTTTGTTGCTGGAAACCGGGTGGATCTCGCAACATTCTGGGTGAGTTTCATGACTTCGACAACATCCCAAAGCTTCCCTACAAAGTGTTTTGAGCTGAGAATCGGAGACCGCCTTGTCTTAAATCACGAGTTTTACTCCATAATAACGAATAAAAAATCTTGGAGAATATCACATTGACCATGACTACAACAAATCACCTAATATATTTCAAGTCATTAAAGCGAATTTGATTTCGTACTTAGCTTCCTCTATACAGCATTAGCCTGAAGGCACGAAAATGCAGTGCGACGAGTTTTAGTATGTTTCGACGTAAGTGCAGGTTTGCTGATTCAAAAAAACACTGGACAATCTGCACATATTTCAGCTAAGATTCATGGTGGAGGTTTCACGAAATGAAAAGCTAGAGTGCTCTGCCTTCTAACGGAATCTTAGACAAAAGCTATACATATTTTGTCAGTTCTGAAATGTCACGATACAAGGCCTCTTTATGATCGAGCATTCTCTTTACCAGTTTGTTTACACAGGACAGAGGAATAACTGTAAATGTGAAGCATGTGTCCGTTATAAAAAAAATACACATATGAGAATAGATTCTTTGTTGGTGAGCTGCCTGAGCGTGTTCTGCTTTCACAGCGTTTCCTCGTCGAGAGCCTTTACTTTCTCAAAATGAGATACAGAAATACCGAATACTTAGGAAACATACCCAAGGATTTCTAAATTTTTTTCTGCAAGAGAAGCCTTGTCCAGAAGAATTTATTTTCCGAGCACCCACAAAATCTGGCATTGTGTACTTGGTATATAGGAGTAGTTAATATTTCCATCCATTCAAGACCAAAAACTGACCGGCCTTAACGAATTGCCAGTCCTTGCGAAGATTTCAAAACCACCAAAATAAAAATGTTCCAGAAGATTCCACGGTGCCTTCCTGCCAGAAAGGCTTAGACGTACAGTTTGTAAGTCTCGGCACGTTCGCCATAATTTGTGGCCGAAGGCTCGCAGCAGTCTCACGTGATGATACCGAATGCAAGACTGGGACGGCTAGTCTGTGGGCGAAGAGATTTCACCTACCAGAAAAGAGCAGTAGGTTTGGAAAAGAGCACTCTTCTAATTACGGCCTCCAGGCGACTATACAGAGACACTGGTGGCCTTTAGTTTAGTAGACCATAGAAAAACTACGTCATTGAAAAGCAGCGCCCAACACCGGCCGCGGAGTTAGACGGAGATGCTTGTGCGCCGATACCTGCCGAAGATACTGGTTGGACCATTTTTTCCTGTGCCCCGCGCAGCGTTTCGTAAGCCGGCGCACTTGGTTGCTGCATGCGTGTCTATGTGCACTCACGAATGGAGGCCATTCTCCGCTTCCGATATATATATATATCCGATCTGGGGGAGAGCAACTGGCAAATTTGGAATTGAAAAACCAAAAACCAAAAACCCTAAACAACCAACAACTATCACACAATGGTCTCGAGAATTGTCCTTGAAAACGCGCCTGTTAAGGCTGTCAACTTAGCCTGGGGCCAAGAAGACTCTACTTTCAAGTTGGTCGATGCTGAAGTCCCAGCCGTCAAAGATGGTGAGTTGAGAATTAAGCCTTTGTACCTCTCCAACGACCCTACACAAAGAGGCTGGATCGCTGCAGGCCAGGACCCAAAAAGATCTTATGTGCCTCCTATCTTGAAGGGCGAGCCCATCAGAAGTCTTGGATTGGGAGAGGTGCTCGAGTCCAAGAGTGACAAATACGTCGTTGGCGACGTTGTCACCGGCTTGCTCAACTGGTCCCAGGAACTTGTGATTCCAGAGGCCAGCGTCAGCACGAAAATCGACAAGCTGCTTCCTTACGAATGGTACTTGTCTGCCATCGGACTCACCGGTTTGACTGCTTACTTCGGCTTGAAGAAGGTCGGCCAATTGAAGGAGGGCCAGACTGTGCTTATCTCCGCTGCGTCGGGTGCCACTGGCTCCATGGCCGTGCAGCTTGCCAAGCACTTTTTCAAAGCTTCGAGAGTTGTCGGAATTGCCGGCTCGGCCGACAAGTGTAAATGGGTCGAGTCCTTGGGTGCCGACTACTGTGCCAACTACAGAGACGCCGACTACCAAAAGAAATTGGACGAGTTTATTGGTGACGAGCACTTTGACGTGTACTTCGACAACGTCGGTGGAGAGATGTTGGACTTTGCTTTGAAGCGCACCAAGAGATACGGCCGCGTCATTGCTTGCGGTGCCATTTCTGGATACAACGACAGAGCCAAGTTGGCCGTGAACTCGTGGACCGAGATCATCAGCAACCGTTTGACCGTGCAAGGTTTCATTGTGTTTGACTTTGCTTCCGAAATCCCTGAGGCTGTTGGCGACATTGTTAGCGTCATCAAGGCAGGCAAGGTGAAGCCAGAGGGCGGTGTGCATGTGGAGGACTTGTCTGGCCTCAAGAATCCTTTGGAGAAGGTTCCTGAGGTGTGGTTCAGATTGTTTACCGAGGAGAAGCCTCAGGGTAAGTTGTTGACCAAGTTGGCTTAGGCGCATGTCTTAGCTTTCCGATGCGCTCGAGGATTAGTATACTGTGTTTTAGAACGTCCTAAATGAACGAGGTAATGATTAAAATATGGTGGTCTCAGCTGTAGAGAGGCGGTGGTGACGAGTCATTTCAGTCCTCATGCTGCCACTATAGGAGGCATCATACCAGGTATCTCATGAGAAGTCTGCGAGGCAGCTGTGTGATGTTTTTGTTGTCTAATTTCCTGGTACTTATGTAAGGTTTCGGGACACTTCATCCAGATGATCTTTTTTTCCTTGTGCCATCTAGTGCAAAAAATGTCAACGTAATTGTGCTAGTGCTTTTAGGGCGCTTGGAACAGTGTCTTTTCTTTTCTTAACTTGGAATCAAGAGCTTGGGGTAAATACTCAAGACTGAATTGTGCATGTCTCTGTATGGCGGCCAATGCAAACGTTAAAAGCATCGAGTGCGGTTGTGTCATTTGCAAAATTTTCAGTCGTTCCAAGCTGTTTTGGCACGACTCGAGCTTTGGATGGCAACTCTGGTATTTTGGTACAGTCGTTTGGTTCTCGTAGCACAGGGGAAGTGTGAGCCATACTTGCATAGCTTTACTTTATGCAAAACTCCTGACGTAGATTTGTGAAAATAGTGTATTGAAAGTGACTATGGTGGATATGAGTCGAATTTTGGCAACCGGAATATAGCAGGAGAACTGACATAATTTAAGTGGTGGAGTATGGGGTGCGAATGGATGTTGGGATATAAGGTTGGGATATTAGGTGAGATATTAGGTATACTATATGGTGGAATACATGGTGAAGTATTAGGCATACACATCGGTACAACTGTTTAATTCTAGTCTTGGGGCCATTGGAGAATTGTCTGCCCTTTCCGGAGGAAGTACGAGTCGCTGTCGAATGTAAATATAACCGCACACGCCCAGAAAGAGTCCTGGAGACTCTGCAACTGGAGATCAGGTGATAGTGTGACGTCACAGATCCAACAGCCGTGGTAAAGGTAGATCTAGGCTTGTGTCTATCTATGAAAACTAAGTGTTCTAGAACAAAAATCCAAATGATGAGAGGATAATCTTATGATATGCCAGGGACATGATCAGAGGTATAGGGAATATGTTAAATTCTGTATATGGGATCGGTTGCATTCGCATACCTATCATAACATTATCTCAGTGACCATAAAGGGAAGTCAGGATGGCGCATAGGTTAAGAGGGTAAGACTTTCACATCCCGAATACCACAGATAGACTTGCCTACTCGCCAAGGTTGAACTGTCTATAAACCTTTCATCTTGTAGTCAAGATACAGCCACTAGCCTTTTTCATTTTCTTTTTTCGACAGAAACACCAGGGTGTAACTGGAGGGATATAAGACACCACCACTAGCGAAAAACTATAAAGAAAAAAAACTATAATAGATCGCAACATTGGCTCAGGTGAGAAGGCGCGAGCATCAATTCACGAAATCTCCCAAAGACTTCTGCCCATAACCAATGTAAATCACTTGAATAATATTAGCAAAATGTCAACGTTCCATGGGATATGTTTTTTTAGGGCCCGTGACCATAGTTCATTCGACAAGGCGGCAGACGTATATCCGTCTTTGCCTCCTGGTTCCTTAGTAAATCAACTCTGCGAACGACTTTACAAACCAATTAAGATTTCGTGGATTGTCAAGGAGAGTATTTAAAGGAGCTAGCATCTCCCTTAAGTCCACTGGAGCTTGAAAACCGATCTTTTGCCACCAAAAGTGCGCAATCTCACACTCATTGTAGAGGTGGGTTAGCGTCTGATCGCTATAGCAGCGTTTCAGACCTGCGTCCGAATAATGACTCCCATACTTCATGACCATGACATAAATGGACAACTGAGGTCAGAAAATAATGTGAAATATATGGTGATGCGACTTCCTGAATTTAAGAACTAATGTCATCTTCAGACGATATCCATTTCCTCCAAAAAGAATTGTCGGTTGCGGCCATACCATTCAGGAAGCACTGTTTCCCGTCCGATCAACGTTAGTTAAGCTGCATAGGGCCACACTGAGTAGTGTAGTGGGAGACCATATGCGAAATTGTGGTGCTGCAATCTTTTTGTCACATGATAGAAACTGGAGTAATACAATAGGGTTTGTGGACTTTGAAAGGATTTTTTTAGTTGGTAAAGAACGCGCAGCATCGAACCATAATAATTAAGGCACACGTTGCGTTCACCTGGTTACGCAAGACAATGTTTGTAGTGCGCAGCGTAAAGATATCGGGAATCCACTCATATAAAAACGTATGTCACCACACAACACAGACACAGATGCATACTTTGGACCTAAAATTGCGTGGAAACAACAGTCACAAAAACATCATTTATTATTCACTCCCCAGTCAATAACTTCTGTCAAAGGTAGGTGGATCCAAAAACTGCCACCAATGTTAATGGCGCCCGAATGCCGAAACCAAAGGAAGCGAATCAAGTTCAAAAGGCCGCTGATTCTTACCATATTTCTGGACAGGTTAGAACGAAGTAAAGAAAAAATTTCATTGATGGTATTCTTCAATAAAGGCTATGATTTTTTGAAATGAAGTAAGAGATCCATTTTAAACTTTAAATGGTTTGAAATTGAAGGCGCAAATATTGCGAAAATTATTCTTTACCAAGCTTCTTTAGGAGCCTGCAAAAGGAAAATGGGCCAGCATCGCGCTAATTGCATTTGGGGAATGTGCTTTTTTACTGGACTTTGGGCACGAAAAAAGTCTAGTAGACCTCTGTGGCGTAAATCATGAAGTTGGAACAACATTGGCGTTTTGAAGCAGACTTTATAGACCCCAACGTGTTGAGCCAAGTTCTCAGAAATGTATAAAATGATTCTATCGCCGGATCATTTTCAATATTCAGGTCTTCACAAAAGCCTGTTACGGCAATTGTCAGTATATGAAGGAGACTCATATCATATTCGGAACTCGCACATGAAACCCGATGGATACATGGGCAACCACAACAGACCTGGTCTGACAGTCTGAGTATTTCAATATGCTACAGCGAATGGAGCTAGTGAACGAAAACATACAATTCTTTGAGCCCAGCTCTCAGCCTTTTGCTATCCAGTTATGAGTTTTCTCCTATCTTGGAAAAATCAACTCCCAATACGTGCCTCTGTCTGTCTATGTGGCAGAATGGTGGCCGCCAGACCTGCACCGTTTTCACTCTACAAACTATGTCATTTGATCCATTGTCAGGTTCCTCTAATTTCAGGCAACCTTCGTCAACCACAGTTAAAACATAAGTTTGTAAATCGTCCTTGATCTTGAATTCCAAAAAAAAAAACTACACATTCAAGTGAAATTGCGCAAAATCAGCCCTGTCAGGATTTGGCACATCGCGTTTATTACTAATTTGCCACCACCAAAACGGTCGCAGATACAGTGCGCATCGCCTCAGCCCAGTATACCGGCCCATCGGTCCAACGAATATGGTTCCAACTTAGCGAGTTCAAGCTACGGCGTCTTTGTAGCTGATTTGCCGAACTTGCTGGCCAGACTTGCAGGAGTTGCCAAGGAACCGTAAAGAAGGCCAGGAAAAAGACCTGTATTTTGTTCTTTGGTCGTTAGGTCCAGAGGCACTAGACACTGAGGCCCCAGATCACCAAGAGCCTCGGTCTGACACCTCTGTTTGTGCTCCAAAACTACGTCCAAAGGCGTTTTTGAATCGACCAGCATCCATATTTTGGATATATCCCAAAACCGCCGTGTGCCACGTGACGCGGCCTGCCCACCATAGCCAACAAGCGCAGACCCAAGCAAACCCGTCCTCCCTACCGCCGATATGTATACCAGACGAGTTTTGTGGAGGAGGGGCGGGACAATAGAAGGGGGGAAGATCCGGAGCACGTGCCCACCGACAATTTCGGCAATTGGCAGGACTTCAACCCGGCGCAGAATACCAATATCCGGTCCGTGTATGTGCTCACGCAAAAGGCGGAATTGCAGGGCAAGAAATGGCCGCTCTCGCAGTTCGAGAAGGTCGACGTGCTAGCGTGCTGCTTGTACTACGGCAGCGACGCCCACATGCGGGATTTGCAGCTCGAAAAGGCCGCCCAGCAGCACGCCCAGGCGGCGCAGAAACGGCCGGTGCTTCCGCCTGAAATCGTCGCGTACATCCTCGAAATATTGTGGTTCTGGGGCGAGCTCAAGCCGCGGTTTCTCCGCCTCAGCAGGCTTCTCCATGCAATGGCCGCGCCGCTTCTATATAGGCGGCCCGAGTTGCGGGGAGACAACTTCCATCGGTTTGTGGACACGGTGAATGGCCACAAGACGTTTGGCTCGTATATCCGGGACCTCGACCTCGCGTACGTCAACCAGAGCGGCAAAAACGCGTCTGTGGCCAAGCTCCTCAAACGGCTGCGGCCCGTGCTTGTGCATTTCGTGGCACCGCAGACCAGTTTTGGCTTGGGGCCTCTAATGGCCCTCCGCGGCTGTGTGCGGCTCAAGTCGTTGGATTTGCGGCTCGTGTCCGAGACGCTCAATCTCGAGGAATTGTTTCTGTCGATCCGCCAGCTCGACTCGCTCACGCACCTTTCGTTCCCGCGGCTGTCGATCGAAATCAGCGATTACAGCGGCATCAAATGGCCGCCGCGGCTCGAGTATCTCCGCGTGTCGGGCGGCATTTCGGACGAGTTCTTGATGCAGCTGGCGTTCCCCACCACCATCCGCCACATGGAGTTTGCACACTGCCCAAAGGTCGAGCACTTTGGCTTCCAGCATCTCCTCCTTGAGTTTGGCCGCAACTTGAGGTCTCTCCGCATCCAGTTCCCGATGCCCGGGCTCCATGCAAACTCGCTCGACTCGGTCTTCGAGCTCTGCCCAAACCTCCATACCTTGGAGGTTTCGGTGGACTACCTTCTGGCGGAGTTTTTTGACGAGCGGTACCTCCAAAAGCGGCTGGACCCGCGCCCGCTCCGCACCTTGTACATAGATAGCAGCGGCATGCTTGGCACCACGGACAAGTTGGATGCGATCGACTTGGCGTTGGCGCTCAGCGAGGCGCGGCTTCCGCTTTTGAAGAACGTGCGTTGCACGGCGAAATTGGGCTGGGACCCAAAGTCCGATGGTGTTTTGCACATTGCCAGCGAGCTCGAGGATCGTGGCGGCGGGCTTTATATTGGGTACTAGGGGTGTTTTGAGGGAAAGCAGGCAAGAGAAGAAAGGTCACGGCGGACATATTTCTCTATCGACTGAATGGTACAGTTGTCTTTGGTTGATGTGCCGAGGAGGCTGCTGCTGTCACTAGTTATTTTCGTGGTGAAGCACCGAAAAAGTTGTCAGGCAGAGGCGGGGGCTTTTGCTCTGGTGGCTTCTAGGACTCTCCGGTTACAAGTCCTCGCAATTTCCGTTAACCGTTGTAGTTGCAAATTATTGGAACACAGCTACACATTTTGGCGTGTAATAAGCTGAACGAGTTTTGAGAATGGCCAGCTGCCTAAAGCGGCTGAACATCTCAAAAGATGAGGAAGAAAGCCAGAATCAGTAAAGTGAGCTGGTGGTTTTCGGAGTCCGTCCACTCATTGCTCACAGCACTGGACAAGAACATTTCAGTACTCCACCAGCACATCAGAAATTCCTATACGCACCCAGAAATAAATTAAAATCTGCAAAGTCGCCTATGAATTCTCGTGGGCGGTTTTCCTTGACGACGGGGACTGACAATTCAATCGCAATGAGCCAATCTAAAGGACAGCGCTGTTTAATTTCACACCTTTCGGCGCCACGGGACAGAAATACCAAGCAAAAGAATTCGCTTTTTAGCCACGCCGCAAAGATCGCTGTGTGACGCTGTTTCAGGCCTCAAGTAGTTGAGCACAGCTGCAAGTCGCGTAATTATTGACGTGTCCTTAGGTTCTCCCGTACCCCCAAAGTCGGCTGAGGTTTCTTCAGCGGCTTTATGAAGAATTCTTCATTATATGTTTTTGAAATGATTTCATGGATGATGGTTTGGTGTGCTCCTCTGCCCTGACACCGCACGCAATACACGCACCAATAATTGTACAATTAGCCCAGCACTTTGACCCCACAAGTCAGTTGACTATGGTGCTTTTTTTATGAATTTGTTTTCGATTATTATAAATCAACATTTTTATTTTGCGGCCACAATTTATGAAGCCATGTACGCATCATTTTGGGCAACTAAGGGACAAGTGGCGTACTTGAACTAGACTACCTGTGCTTCCTCGCTGAGTAGTCAACATTACACCTTCCCCAGAATCACTTAAATGCCCGAAACCAAAGAAGCCGTCTTTTCAAAGTAACTAATGAAGATATAAAGTGATATCGAGGCTTGGTAGACAAAGGATGTCCAAGCTTGTCGTTCCTGCTGCATCAAGAATAACTGCAAAGCTATGGTATGAGGTGGCATCTTTCTTCATCAATGGTGAATACCCAGTCGGTTGCCTCAAGTATATCACTCGAGATGTTCAGTGTTTTACTGAACAAACCTAGAGATAAATTTGATGTAGCTGGAGACCTATTCAAAGCCCTTTACAGAGATTGAGAGAGAAACTGCTCAAACTTGTCATTTCTTGCTCATATCGATACGAGTGTGTTTATATAAAATCAGACGCACACCAGCCATGAAAGTTTCATGTTCGAGGAAGCAAAATGGGCATGAGAAATCTTCCAGTATGCCTACCAAACGCTCTGGGATCCCGACCCACAACGAAGTGTCCAAAGTCAAGATGGAATAGAAGTTTGAATTCTGAAGTATGATTAAGAATGAGTTTCGAAGAAGCAGAATGGAATAGAAGATTGAATTCCCATGTATGATTAAGAAAGAGTTTCGAATCAGCAGAAATGAGAAAATAATAGAAGACACATGAAAACCATTGGATTTAATTTCTAGTTAGTAGGAGGCTTCCGTGTCCCTACTCTCAAGAAATTACCCAAGATATCTGGGAAAACTTGATAAGATATTCCAAAGCAGCATCAAACAAAGACAAATGAGCAAAAACATACTATTTTCATTAATGTATGAGACATTACACTTTTCATCGTTCCTTGCCTTCTTGAAACTATAATAATAAATTCTTGAAAATGAGCTAAAGAATATGCAAAGAAGCATGAAATAAAAGTAAATAAGAAGAAGCTCACATTTCACATGAATGTAAGGCATCTACATCCAGCTGAGCACTGATGGCTTCAGCCTCTTCCCCATGGCTTTTCTGGCCGCCTCCGGTCTTTTCACCTTTTAATTTGCTTGTTTTGTAAGTGGAAAATCCTTCTTCTGCATATTCCATAGTAGCGGGCAGAACTGCATCGGTAGTATTTACCTCAGTTTGAACATCTTGTTGTTCATTTGACTGATGGCATTCTCTGCGTCGCTCCCGTTTTTAAACTCGCCAAACCCGAACCTCAGCCACTTCTCAAAACTTTTGCCTCTGGTTATTGTCTTGGAAGCAATTTCCACCGAAAGGATAGAAATACTATGTTTTCAGCATCCGTTTCATAGACACTTGACACTATGATCAGAAACCTTGGGAATGATTTTGAAAGGATATGTCCACGTATCGAACATGAAGCAAGAAGCACTCTAACCATTGAAATAGAGACTATATGACTCTCACCCCCTACACCCCTGTAGTTATCATAAAAACATAAGTTTCCTAGGATACCCAAGGATCTAACATAAAACACTCTTACCGTGATACAGAAAACTACGATTCTCAGTATGCCGTTTTCCCAGATAGGCCAGTCCAACCACCGTTCCCCGGCCCCACTACCACAGAAACTCTGGCCAAACGATGCATCCATCTCGGCGCAGTCCCTGCTTTCTGCCGATGGGCGCAGACGCGAGGCCAAAAAGAAACGCTGCCGCTCTTGTCGCGTAATTCGCAGCCAACTCTCGACGCCCGGCGCGTATAGTGTTCGCTGGAATTTTACCGATGAGCACAATACCGTTAAACGGTTCCAAATTGTCACTGAAAGCTTTCTGGTGAGTAACGGTCGCCGAGGCGCCACTGTCGATTATTAATTTGGATATCGCTGACTTTTGCGGTATTGTGAACGGCACACCGGCCACGCTAATCGAGGTCGTTCTTATGATGTTATAATGGGTGTTTTTGTCTTTTGGTAATTTTGTGACTTTATGCACATTCATTTGGTGCTTTCGGCCCTGGCGTTTGATTTATTGGCGGTTGTCTTCATCTAGTAATTGCAAGTACGCCCCCTTTTTTTGCAGTGCAGTTGTCTATAGGCGGCTTTATCGTTGTACTCTTCCAATTTGTGTAGCCGTACACAACTTGGGCACATCTCTAGTTGCTCAGCAATTTTCATCCAATACATTTTCAGAACCTTTTCTGAATTTGTGGGATGTTTGTCTACCGTGACTTTTTCTTGCTTGATCCCAGCTGTCTGTATCGCATGTAACCCGCCTTGGTGTATGATTTCTCGCTCCGGAAGTCGGCTTCAGTGCACCCAATGCTTTATATTTTAAATCGAGATAAGGTGTGCCGTCCAAAATACCTGATTTTCCCTCTCTAACTTTCGAGTGCATTTTCCACCATACATTGTCTGCAAAGTATGTTACAAGTTCCTGGGGGTCAACCTTATTCGACAATTAATCGGCCTCCCCGTGGTTCCACTGGCCAATGTCGATCGCTCCTGCATTTGGCTTTCCAGTTGATAAAAGTGGTAAGAGTGTCAGTGCTGGTATGCGATTAGCTTCCCTTTCATACTTTTCTTCGTATTTGTGAGCTTAAATATGGCCTTTATGAAATCTGTACAGTCTCTGATGAGTGTAAATATGATGAGTAGTTTATCGTAGGCGCTTTCTATAAGGTTCTTGGAAGGAGGTTTCCACTAACCCACCTAGAAGGGACCCGATACCTGCTGCTAGTGCGTTTGGGGTAAGTCCACATGGGACTAATCAGGTGGCAAACGTCAGCGACAAGCAAAAATTACGAGACTGAAATGAAATCCGCAAACCGGCGTTTGCACATCCTCACAAACACCATGGCCAAACCGCATACATTAACTGCATCCAAAGGACGGGACTAGTAATGGAAACTCACAACGAAAGCAAAATTGAGCCAGTGTTAGCCATAACTCTGATAATGGACTAGACACACCTGGAGCTAGTAACAAAGCATGGAAATGCGGTCGAACAGGCAAAAACGAAATCGCAAGCTCAGACATATGGCCGTGTTCAAAGAAGTGGGACGAACGGAAGTACCAAATACTATGATTATTACTACTGGATTTGCTCACATTGGAGACGAAGCAATCAAAACGACTAAGAGTCAAATTTAGCTACTAACTAAGCGAATGAACGAGCCTGAACACTCAGGTGCATACGAGGGCTCCGGAACTCGTGACTTTCTACGGGAGTGAGGTTCAGGCCACGTTCAAGAAGGATTACAGATATGACATAGGGATTACAATCAGTACGGCTGACCCTGCGAAGTACGAAGACGCCATGATCGAGAACGTGATGATCTACTCCATGTGTATGCCAAAAGCCATTGAAATGGAGATAACAAACGCCAAAAGCGAGGCAAGTAAAGACATAATCACCGAGCTTGAAAATCAGAAAAGTTCAGAGTTTTTCTTGGTTAAAAATAACATCAATTTGATAAAGAAATACTTCCCAAACATCCAGGAAAAAAGGGACAGATTCAGAAACGAAAATAGAACGATAGCGTCTGCAATGTTAAAGAATCTTCCTTTCCTCGTGAAGGAAAATGAGGTCTCGAGACAGAAGATGGGTGATGTGGGACACGTTATAGCAACGAAAGTTGACTCAACCAAGATATGGAAACTAGAGAAGTTTTATAGACTTGAAAAATTCGGGCGAGCATGGTAGGAGACGTTCAAAGAGAAGCTTGAAGACTGTGGTTCTGAAAGATCAGACTCAGACCTGGGGCTATTCACGAAGGTGAGCTCGAGACATAATGCAAATCGCACTATACGTGGATGATTTATTGGTCAGTTTCCAAGACAAGAAAGGCGAGGACTTCAAATGATATTTGAAAAACATGGCAAAGATAAAGATCAAGGTATTGATGATGCGAAAGAATTATGCGGCGCCGAGGTCGAGATGGTAGAAGGAGGATACAAGTTACATCAGAAAACGTACCTGGAGAACCTACTCAAAAAGTGCGAAGGACACTTAATACCCGAGAGGGAAGGACCCCGATCAATGCTTATGACCGAGCGGAGTGTAAGACTTGCTGAATGAGAAAGATTTGGAGAAGTACCAGGAAATCCTAGGAAACTATAACGGGCTTGCAGAGATTAGCCGGCCCCATATAGGGTACACATACCGCAACGGAATAAAACTTGGCCCAATCGGAACGATGTTAGTGTACCTCGGAAATACAAAAGACTTCAGCAGCGAAATAGCAAAGATCACTCAAGCAGAGAACAAAATCAAGCTGTACGCATTCAGCGATGAATCTTTTGCAAACGAGGAGGAACGAAAGTTCAGAACAGGCTATATCATCTACACCCACTGAAAACCGATAGCGTGGAAATGCAAGAAACAATGCTTGTGACGGCAAGCACCTACGCAGCAAAATATGTTGCACTCAGTAACACAGTACACGACGTATTACTCGGCAAGTGTTTGGAGGTGCCCACCATATTTTAAGATACCAGGGGTGTTATTTTGTCTGTGAACGGAACAGGAAGCAGCTCCAGAAGTAGCATAACGGTGGACCCGAGGGACATTCACCAAACCATCACGGATCCTCGGGAAAAGAGGATCCAGAATTCCACAGATAGACAGCCTCTTTACAAGGCTGAACTATCTATCAACTTATCTGCTTATAGTCAGGAGACAGCTCTAGCCTGTTTGATAATAGTTGGTGGCTGGAGGCCCACCCATACGTGGGATAGTACAGGAGATAAGATAGGTCGCAGTACCCAAGTCATGGAAGAAGAGGGAGATTGGATCAACGAAAGAAAAGGCCACGGTGATGTTGACTGGGGCGATGAATTCAGGATTGCATCATTCCGGGAGCGTCACGTCGGCTGCAACACGCCGCCTTCCTGATCTCTTCTTCTCAGGGATGAGAGCATGTATTCTAGGGACCCCAGTCTTGAATTGAGAAGTCGGAATCTAAAAAGACCGTCACGCCGCCTTCCTGATCTCTTTTTTTTAGGGATGAGAGCATGTATTCTAGGAACCCAAGTGTTTAATTGACAAGTCCGATACATAAGACTGTCACTCCGCCTTCCTGATCTTGCTTTCTCCTGAGAGTAGAGCGTGGTATTCCAAGGACACTCAGTACTGTACACCCTGAACCAAGGATTCTGATACTGAAACACTGCCACGTCTGCGGCATCACACCTTCCTGATCTCCCGTTCTCATAGATGACAGCATATGTTCTAGGCACCCCACGCTCTGCACGTCCTGGTCTGGAAGCCCCATTCTGAAAGATCCAAACGCGGCTCCTGTCGCGTGCTTCGCAGCCAACTCTCGACGCGCGGCGCGCAGGGCCTGCAGCACGCTGCAGCCAGGATCCTGCACGCGCGGCGCAGCGCGCAGCCGCAGCCAAAAAACACCGTCGTTGTACCAGCCCTCCAGTCTGAACCACCCCAGCAAAAGCGCCACAAACACCGAAAATGCACGAGCAGGACCAGCCCCCGCCCACGGCAGCCGCAGAAAAAGCACGCACGCCCGGCGGGCACGTGACCGCGCCCGCCGCCCCCGCCGCCGGCCGCAACGCCCGTCTCTCGGCGTCCGACGGAAGGCAGGCCGCCGTCATCTTCTCCGTGGCCGTGCTTTTGCACACCTACCGCCTCCAGTGTTCGCCCAGGGTGGTCTTCGACGAGACGCACGTCGGCGGCTACGTGCGGCAGTACTTCCAGGGCCGCTTTTTCGTGGACGTGCACCCGCCATTGGGCAAGCTCGTGTTCTACTGGCTCGCGCTCCTCGGCGGCTGGGACGGGCAGTTTGGTTTTGGCGGCGTCGGCGACGTGTACGACACAAACGTGCCGTTTGTGGCCATGCGCCTGTTCCTGGCCGCGTGCGCCGCGGCCGCGGCCGTGCTGGTGTTCTTGGCGCTCCGGTTCTCCGGCTGCCGGCTGCGCATAGCCTGCCTCGGCGCGTTGGCGGTGGTCTTTGAGAACTCGCTCGCCACGCAGGCACGCGTGGTCATGCTCGACAGCGCGTTGGTGGCGTTCACGGCCGCGGCGGTGGCCGCGTTCCAGCGCTTCCAGGCGGCAGAGCCGTTCTCGCGGCCGTGGCTCAAGGCCATGCTTCTTACCGGCGTGGCGGAGGGGCTCGCGGCGGCCACCAAGCTCCCGGGGCTCTTCACGGCCGCGTGGGTGGGCGCGTGGTCGCTCGTGCACATGTGGCGGCTCGCGGGCGACGTGCGCGTGCCGGGCCGCCAGTTGGCGCTCCACGCGGCCAGCCGGGCCGTGGCGTTTGCGGGCGTGCCGGCGGCCATCTACTGCGGGCTCTTCGCCGTGCACTTCCGCATGCTCCCGCTCGGCGCCGGCGCCGGCGACGCCGGGCTCATGGCGCCGGCGTTCAAGGCCGCGTTGGCGGACGCGCACGGCTTGCGCAACACGGCCGTGGACGTGCTGTATGGCAGCACCGTGTCCGTGCGGCACCACCGCATGGACGCGTACTTGCACCTGCACGAGTACACGTACGTGGGCGGCTCCGGCCAGCAGCAGGTGACCATGTACGGCTACGACCCGGACACCAACAACGAGTGGGTGCTCGAGCCGCACGGCACGTACGTCGACGGCGCGCTCGACGCGCAGTTCCGGCCCGTCAAGGACGGCGACTCCGTGCGCGTGTTCCACAAGGCCTCGCGCAAGTACTTGCGCGCCAACGACGTGCGGCCGCCGCGCTCCGAGCACGACTACCTGAACGAGGTGGCGTGCCACGGCGGGCACGACGCCCCCGCGGACATCGACCTCGAGTGGACCGTGCGCATCGTGGGCAAGAAGCCGCACGCGCAGTCCGACTTGGCCTTGCGCAAGCTCCGCGCCACGGAGTCCGTGTTCCAGCTCGTGCACCGCGGCACGCACTGCGTGCTCATGGGCCACGACACGCGCTTGCCCGCGTGGGCCTTTGGCCAGCTCCAGGTGCTCTGCGTCAACGGGCCCACGCTCGCCAACACGCTCTGGTACATCGAGGCCAACCGCCACCCGGCCATCGACGCCGACGCGCTGCGCTACCCGCGCGTGCACTTGCCGGGGCTCCTGCTCTGGGCGAAGATGGCCCACTACCACCGCTCCATGTGGCGCGTCAACAAGGGCCTGGCCGCGCCGCACGCGTACGCGTCGTTGCCGCTCGCGTGGCCGCTCGCGGCGCGCGGCATCAACTACTTCAGCAACGGCCACGGCCTCGCGCGCTTGGCCGGCGAGCTGGGCTCCCACGTGTACTTGGTGGGCAACGTGGCCGTGTACTGGGGCGGGCTCGCGGTGGTGGTACTTGTGGCCGTGCGCCTGGTGCTCGTGGGCTTGCGGCGGTTGAACCCGTTCGTGCGCCCGGCGCCCGTGCCTGCCGCCGCCGCCGCGTGCCGCGAGGCCCAGTGGCAGTACGCGTCGGGCTGGGCGCTCCACTACGTGCCCTACATGTTCATGGAGCGCCAGCTCTACGCGCACCACTACTTGCCCTGCGTGTTGTTCCTTGTCTTGGGCACGGCGCAGTACGTCGAGGCCCAGGCGGGCGCCCGCTCGCGGCTCGCGGCGGCGGCCTGGGTGCGCGGCTACGACGCCTACTTGTGCGCCGTGGTGTATGTGTTTGTGCGCCTCCGGCCCTTGGTGCACGGCTCGGCCTGGACCGTGGCCCAGTGCCAGGCGGCCAAGTGGCTTCCGGGCTGGGACTTCGACTGCATGGCCTACAGCCACTGAGGGGCTTGGGGCTGGATGGATGGCCACTGCGCACTGCGGGGCGGATCCGATCCCGGCGGCTTCTGTTTGGCCGCTGCTTCTCAGCCTGTGTTCATGTTGAAGTTCTTTCCAAGTCAG